ACCCCAAAAGACTCGTTTATTTTCCCCAAATCGACTTCTAACAGCGGTAATCGGTCGTGCCAGCATCAGTACTTTAAAGAATTCCCCTGGCTTCATTATGATGTGAAGACTGATAGCGTTTTCTGCACTATCTGTGCAAATGCTAAGAGAACTGGATGTTTGTCTGTAAACTGGGGAAAGGTGGAGGAGGCATACACATCCCGTGGATTTCGAAACTGGAAGAAGGCACCCAAGTGCTTTCGTGATCATCAAAATTCGGTTACCCACAGGTTTGTGATATCGCAATCAAAACTCCCTGACGTAGCTGAGCAACTAGTTAAAAGTCTAACGGAGACAAGAAGCATTGAACGACACTACTTGCGGAGGATTATTACAACAGTCAGATACCTTGCGAGGCAGGGCATTCCACTATCCGGCAAGAACGGTGAAGATAACTTTAGTCAATTGCTAAAACTCCGAGCTGAAGACGACAGCATTTTAAAGGAGAGACTAAACCGAGAAGCGGACGACCGTAAGCAAGGAGGCAATAAAGTGTTCTTTAGCTACCGACACCCTACAATACAGAACGAGATTCTCGATATTATGGGGCAAGAAGTTGTCAGAACTTTACTGCGGAGTAAAATTCAAAAGTGTCGCTTCTTTTCCCTTATTTGCGATGAAGGGACAGATGTTGCAAATAACACATTTGTGACAATATGCCTGCGTACCATTGAAACTTTACCACCTTAAAGTTTCAGAGGATTTTATGGGTTTCTATCACGTAGCAAATATCAAATCGGATTCAATCGTCGCCGTGATCAAAGACGCCTTAAAGAGGTTTGCTCTAAGGCTCAGTGATTGTCGGGGTCAAACCTACGACGGGGCCTCTAACATGCTTGGACCAAAATCTGGAGTGTCAACGAGGATTTTGAAGGAGAATCCCTTAGCTCTTGCTAATCACTGTCTGGGACACGCTTTAAACCTCGAGGTTAAAGCTGTTAATAAGAACTGTAAACCCTTGTCTTTGACAACTGACACGACAGAAGAAATTGTTAAGTTGGTAAGGTACTCTCCTAAGCGTGAAAATATGTTATCTGTAATACAAAGTGATATTATTGTCGCAGCAGATGACGAAGAAGATATTCCTGTTCAACAGAAGATCCTCGGTTTGTCATCTACCCGATGGACAGTGAGATCCCAGTGCTTCCGAAGGATACTAGAAAATTATCCAGCCCTTCAAGAGCTTTGGAAAGCATCCCTCTTTGAAGGTGGTTTAAACAGTGAGGTTAAGGCTCGGATAATTGGTGTTCAGAGTCAAATGAAGACATTTAGATACTTTTTTGGACTGTTTCTCTGTGAAAGGTTATACCGAATGTCAGACAACGTATCAAAGTCTCTGCAAGGACGACGGCTTTCAGCACTTGAGGGAAAAGCTCGTGTTGATAACCTTCTAACAACGCTCAAGTCCATAAGGAACGAGACATCGTTTGCTCCTTTGTGGAACAGTTGCATGACACAAGCAGCGAAGACCCCTTCAGTTGAAGAACCACAGCTCCCTAGAAAAAGGCGACGACCTAACTACAGTACATTGGTTGTTGTGGATGGTCACACATCACTTTCGAGGGAAGAACATCCGCAGACACCGGAGGAGTTTTACAGGACTGAGCAGTTCTATCCGGCCATCGATTCGATGGTTACTGGTCTAGAGGCTAGGTTTCAAGAAAAGGCCTATAAAACATACTCTATCCTTGAAAGTTTTCTCTTGAGCCTAGCCAATGCTCACCCAGGTGTATACCCCCCGACCCCACATGAGGCCTTACAATATCCAGAGGTGTCCCTGGAAGTTGCTGAGTATGACGCCTTCCGGACCTCGATGGAAGGGGAAGATTTAAGATGTCTTAGAGACATTCATGAAGCATGCCAAAAACACTTGGAAGATGCTAGCCTATTCCCTGGAATTTTGACTTTGCTTAAGGTGATGCTTCTACTGCCAGCTACAAGCGCAGAAGCAGAACGAACCTTTTCCCTCATGAGACGGACGAAAACGTGGTTGAGATCAACGATGAACGATAAAAGGTTTAACAATCTGGCTGTGTTGAATTACCACCGTAATATCACGGACTCCCTTGACATAGAGAACATTGGCAACCAGTTTATCGCTCTTTACCCCAGCAGAGAATCACACTTTGGAAAGTTTTGATATCAGAACCGCACGAAGCTCGAGTATTATTCAGATTTCAAGGTCAGTAGTTGTTTGAAGTTTGTCTATATTATCATCATTGTGTGTATGTATAGTAAAGTGTAGTACTAATGTGTAGTTAAAAGAGATTGTGAAGTATGTACTGTCAAGCTTAAATTCGGACTACTTACATTAATTTACTTTTTCTTTTAGTTGCTGCTAACGTAAATTCGTGTCCCTCAAGTACTGGAAAATGCGTCAAAATTGTCTAATTTCCTTAAAAATTTTCCGGGGGGCTTCGCCCCCCTATCCCCCCGACAAGGGGCTCCGCCCCTTGACCCCAAAGGGGGCTGCGCCCCCAGACCCCTGCTATTGAGGGGGGCTTCGCCCCCCTACCCCCCCCACAAGGGGCTCCGCCCCTTGACCCCACTGGGGGCTGCGCCCCCAGACCCCTGCTATTGAAGGGGGGCTTCGCCCCCCTACCCCCCCCACCGGGGGCTCCGCCCCTGGACCCCGCAGGGGGCTTCGCCCCCTTGCCCCCCCTGGGTTGAAGACGTGATGTAGCCCCTGTAATATAGTGCCCGTGTTTTAGTCCCGAGGTTTAATCGCTGTGTGTAAGCTGTTTGGAACGCCTGCTTGTTTGTTTGCTTGTTTGTTTATAGAACCCGTCCCCAATCTCGTATTGGAAAATGACTAAACTCAATTCTGAGTGTGAATACGGGTGGTACCTCCAAGTGTGGAACGCCTTGTGAGGGTTATTTACCGATAGTTGAAATTCGATCGTATCTAGTGCAATCGAGCACTATATACCGCAGCGGTATATACAGTAGTTTAGCGCTATATAGCGGACTTAGCGGTATTACCGCTATATAGCGGTAAACTGCGTTCGTTAGCGCTAGATATCGAATTTCTACTATCGGAAAAGAACCCTTGTCAGCTGTGATCTGAGCCGTTGTACTTTGATACACAACAAGCTTGTATTACGACTCACATCGTGGTACGGATCGTTCATTACGTAAGCCAGATTTTTAGCCATTTAGACCCCGCCGTAAGCCATTTAACACTTAATTGACAATTGTGTAGGAATGACACTATACTAGAGTACGTAGCTTCAGATCACAATCCCCCCCCCCTGGTTAGCTTACGTAATATATGAACGATCTTCTGTATTACAACCCCAGTTTCAGTATACACACACACGATCCAGTCTTTTTATCTCTGTAATCAATGTACGTCATAATCACCACTTAATGAGATAATTACCATTCTTTACTCGAGCTAATAGCTGGGTGAGTCTAGTCTTTTTGGCTAGTTTCATAACATTAGACCGGGCTGGTATCTTCCTTTTTGATTTGGTTCACGTGACTTTCTGATTTGAGTCACGTGACTTTTTGATTTGAGTCACGTGACTTTTTGATTTGAGTCACGTGGCAGTGATGGTGCATTGTGATTTACCTTGTGGTGTCCTGACACGGAACAGTTTGTTCTTTTAGATGGTTTGCGAGGGTTTTGTAGCTTTTGTTTTGTGTACTGGTAGTTAGCTTCTCATTGTATCTGTTCTAATTATCACTTTGGTAAAATGTTATCGATCTCAGACGTCAACCCTATGTATGGCAACACTACAATGAAACATTGGAGTCCGACGTCGGGTTTAGGTCAGATTTTTGTCATTTTGAAGCCTGAGTTTGGTTACGATTTGTTCATTTTGAGGCCAGGTTTTATTCAGCTTTAGATCGGGATACACCAGGCTCCTGTGACTCAAAATACATACCTCCTTCTCACCCCGTTAGCAATCACACGTTAGCAATCAAGCAATCACACGGTTTTATTTATTTCCACTGCTAAACTTCAGATCGCTAATATCTCGATATTCTCAGCCTCAGTATGACATCATCTTTTAAAAATGTTTTAAAAACATCAATAATTGTCGATTATAGCTAACAGTTGTGGATTGGTGATTACATCATACTTTAAATCAATTGTCTATCATCAATTTATTGTATCCATACATTATTAACTGATTCTATAGCAGTAATTGAAGTTAATTTTTAAGTCAGATAAGGTAATTTAAAATGATTTTAATGCAATTCCACGAAGTTGCTGTTTATTAATCATCTTACATTGCAAAACGACGATAAGCGAATCATCTTAACTGTAAATCAAAACGCATCAGAATGTGACTTATTCCCATTTCCCGGCATATCCATAGTCTGCCAAAACAATTAACACCATGAACTCAACGATCATTATATGAGCATTTAATTTGCGGCAGCACTTTAAAAACAACCATGAAGTCAGCTAGAATAAGGGGACCCAGACAATGTTTCAGTATTCACACGGAAAATTAATTTGCAATTTGCACCGTGTTCATTGATCTATGTGATATGGCATAAGGATATGAAAAGGATGTGAAGAGGCTGTCCAGTATTAGGGTTACATCGTTTTGCAAATTTTACGTGGCATTACTTTTATTAGTGTTAATGCAAACTATGTTTTACCGGTTTTTTGTGATCGATTCATTATGATTATCTCAAGCTTCCAAAATTCATCCTTCGTAAACATCTATTAATCAACTTATTCATTTGATATCAGTTCTGAATGTAGTATGAATACTTGTAATTTTGCCTCAGTGCAATAGTGTTTGCTGAGAAGATTTGTAGATTTCGCAGAGGAACATGATCGAATAATTTCTATAATTAATAATGTAATAATGATAATATTTCTCTTACCTAGCCATTTAGTATGCCTAAACAAATCGGTTATTTGTTTGCTGTATTATAGTATCAATACAACTATAACATTATATAATAATAATTATATAACATTCCTCTCATCCAGCAGTCCTAGCTATATATGTCAGACAGATACACAGATCTCTCCAATGAACGATGTGATAGGGTACAACGCTACAGCAGCCCCCTGTAAGCTAAGAGAGTACGATCTTGAGAGTAACAACGGTACATTTACACTCTTGTCTTTTGTTTTACTGATGAGGTCACCAAATTATTAGCCACACACGAAAACGTGAGGCTGCTTTCGCTTTTAATGAGCAAATTACGTCATTATAAAACCATAAGAACTATCCGATGACATAATGTACATTTTTACAGACGGTAATAATATGTTTAATAAGCTGGTGCCAGATGTTGGTATCATAACCTGTTTTGTCATTAGTCGTAATAGTGAGAATTAGTATTAGAGCTTGGGAGCAAATCGTTCTGTATTCTATAATATCATGACTTGCTTGAATACACTTACTTACAAGTTATTGGCGCTGCAGGGTTTACCAATAACCATTAACCATGTATACCAGACTTGATTGGGCTGGTTGTCAACTTTTCTGGTGATTTTCTGAAACCTGGTCACGTGTTTCTGAAACCTGGTCACGTGTTTCTGAAACCTGGTCACGTGTTATAAACGGTTACTATTTCAGATGATAACTTCTCAGATAGCAGCAGCTATGTTCACGGCTCGCACGAGGATGTCTTATGGAGTCTTGAGCAGAAGGTCCGCACAATGCAGAAATACGGCGTCGTCGCAAATGTAAGACAGCTTCTTTAGTGTGTATTTTTGAATGTAATATGATAACTTGCAATGTTACTGTATATTCAGTTGTGCATTATTATATAGATTGGTTGACTTCATCCAATAGTGTCAATAACAGCACATTTAATGATGCTGCTACTGATATCCCTTAAGGAAGCAATGCAGTAAACCTCATCACAAGTATATTGGAGAGTAGGGTAGACTTTAGGGTTTAGGTTAAGGTTAGGGTTAGGGTTAGGGTAACTCTTACCCTACCCAAACCTTCAAGTTGTTTACCCTTATATCTACCCTTAGTGCTCGGGCTTCTTGGACACTGCCGGAAACCAATGGATTGGATGTATAAATATAATATCTAAGCCGTGCGGGTGCAAAATATTAATTATAATTTAACACTGTAATATGTAATACAACCCTTCAGTCTGTTGAGCTTGAGGAGTTGGAGCGATCTTTGGATGAAGAGCTAAAGAAATATCACATGTTCGACGAATCAGATGCAGAGGTATGTTATATTATATACAGTTATCCGTTGAACCTGGCGAATTTACTTAATTTCTACGAGTTTTACTTTCAGTTCCATTTGTTCCGCGGAACAATATTTGACGAAAGTTGATTATCTCAAGATCATACGGTATGATTATCTTGAAACTTTCCAGATAGTAAGATTAGCACATAGAAATTCGCCCAAATTTGCACAGATCATCTTACTATCTGGAAAGTTTCAAAAAAAAGAATCGTAAGTTCTTGATGAAATCGAAAATTATTCTAGGATATTGCCCAAAACAATCGATTTTTAAAAGTCGAAAGTTCTTCTGAGAATCACATGTTGTTGCGTATTTGCGTATGGCGCGGCGACTTTTTAATGTTGTAGCACACTATTTTATGCGCAAAAGCGCGCATTTATTAGCGCGCGGCGTGAGCTGAGTAGGCGCGCGCAGACGGCCGGGCGCGCGTATTAATATATTATTAAACGATGTGCGTGCGTGCATGCATACATTCGTCAAAGACTGTCATGGGTGGCCCGTGCATGGCCGCCGGCCAATCATCAATCATGATAGTATGTTATCTTCTTGTGATTAATGGCTAGGACTTACCCGTATCCGTGGCGAAAAACTATAGCACCTAGAACATGATATCATTGTCCATTCATCCATCATCTCTAAGTCTACTGCTATAATGCTACTATCCACTGAACACTAAACTACCATAAATACCATAAATCAGTTTCTCTGGTATTCTATTCCTGATCCCAAAGATTAGCATTGCTGGTAATGTGCTCATGATCAGACTGTAAGGCAAGGCACGTGAACTTTCCGTTATAATTTAGAAAAACAACTCTTTCATTACTCTTGTCATTGACTTCTGGTCTTCCTGTTACGAGTAAGTCACTCCTCAACACGAGTGTTAAGAGCTTAGCTCATGCTAATCACTGCAAGGCACAGCTTAGCTTTTTATCTTATCGTTTGTTGTGGGAAAGGTTTTACGTCAATGGAAAATAGACTTTTAAGATTCTTGCGCAGTTAGCGCTATTAGGCTTAGAAATTAGAATCAGTCCACTTCTCGTTTGTCATTGGTGCCTCATTAGACCTAATTGTTGAAACAAATATATCATGGGCCATGAAGAGGTACAGTGGGTAGAAACAGAGAGTTGTGTGAAGATAGGTAGAGTAAGAGAGACCGTGGAAATAGAGACAAGTGGAGAGAGACTAGAGGGGTAGATGAGAGCCGGGAAGATAGGTGAGGAGAGGAGAAGAGACGAGGAGAGAAGACTTGGTGAGAGGTATTGCCGCAGCATATATTGTCACATCTAGAAATACAGCACGTATAATTTGTTTTAAATTCGTTTTCTTATTTGTCATATGTGTATATGCATCTTGTAGGGTATGTGATCACTTACAATTGCTAATAATTTGTATGCGGTTGACTTTGAGTCCTCTATAAACTACTATCGACACTTTGGTTTTCTTTGATTAATAGAAACCTGCAGCCGGCTTGTAATTGTCTGAATTTACAGCACGAGTTTGCAAAAATGTGAACTTGTAGCTTCACGGACAACGAGTCAAAATTCTCAGTTTAGTGCGTAGCATTACTTTTAGTAAACGAATATAAATATTCTGTATAACCCTACTTTACTATTAAGCTATTATAGGTCTTGAGCAATTCGTCCCTCGCAATTATAGTAGTGCTGTTAGACGGAAGCTAGCAATTCACAACAATGCTGGATATAGTGGACTACTGTTAGATGAAAATATGCAGGGTTGCGCTGGAAAGCTGTCAAGTTAGAGCAATATAGCGCTAACAGCTCAAGCTTAAACTTGACTGTTTGCTGGGGATCAACCTTGTCTTGTTTGTTGTTTCAAGTGGGGTTTAGTAATGCTGTGTGGAGCATGCGTGGGCTTGTTTCGGGTTCCCATATGGAGGCTTGCTCTTGCATACATGCGTGGGCTTGTTTTGAGTACACATACAGAGGCTTGCATACAATGGAGAGGTTCGAGTTTGGGCCCCTAGTAGTTGCCATGAATCATAACTACCTGGAGTGAGCTACGAACTATGTCAAGGCTATCCAACTCTACCCACGTGCATAGCTTTGAGTACCTCGGATGAACGCATTCCGGAGAACAATACCTTAACCATCCCTTAACCATCTGTTAATCATCTTCAATGCCGGGATTTTAATACCCTTCCACTACTGTAATCAGCTGGTAATAAGCCATTAACCATGTGGTTACTGGGAATTCTGAAGTGAAGTAAACATGAAGTAAGATTTGATGAACCGGCGCTTTTCTTCCATACCCGGAATTTGGCTGGTGGAATAAGAAGACCACAAAGGATCTTAATCTCACTGGTTGTGTATCACGTATGGTACGTTAATTCGTATATATAGAACAATTCCACAACTTTCATTTAGCGTACTCTCGCTAATTCTAGCAGCTTGCAAACTAGTGCACAATCTCGTTAACGTACAGTTGTGATAGTGTAGGTCTTCTTTCGACTTTGCTTTTCTTGTTTCAATTTGAGTTAAATAAATGAGGCATGACGGGGAGTTTCACAGACCCCTCACAGATCCCTCACAGATCTCTCGGGGATCTGTTCTGACAATTGTATATTGAAGAACCCATAGACAAGAGTTATCCTGCTTGAAACGAATACCAAAAATAGCTTGTAGTGATAAAAGGCCTCTCAACAAACTCCTGTTACTGTATAAGGTTATATTCCTCCGAGTACTTATGTACAATTACTCTTGTTAGGCTGCTATTAAGGTGTTTTTAGGTTTCTACGCCGACATCAAGTTTGGAATCTAAGATATCCTTCCTTTGTAATTCGAATAAAAACTTGCCTAATCACTTTAACTTTTAATGCTAGACATTGTAAGAGAACGTTGTTTGTGGTGGAGAATGCTTGGATATTTTTGAGGCGTCCTATAGAATATGAACCGGCAAACTTTAAACATTTTTCAGTAAATCTTAATTAGACGTTGTCGCTAGTAGGTAAGAACACGACTTGAAGGATGTCTTTTAATCTCCATTGTCCATGATTTTCATTAAAATAGTTTTTCTCGTTTACATCAGAGAGGAGCTTTTACTTGATTTTGATGGGAGTTTTTTTTGGAATCGATCTGCTGTGTTTTCTTTGCTAAGTCGCAACTTCTAAAATATTAACGATTACTTTTGTAGCATGACGTCCTACACCAAGATTACTTCCCCCACACACCTCGCGGAGAACTCTTCCTACCCAAAGTTCGTGGCCAATTCTTCCTATCCAAAGTTCGTGGCCAATTCTTCCTACACAAAGTTCGTGGCCAATTCTTCCTACCCAACGTTCGCGGATGATTCTTCGTATACCCATTTCACTGATAATTCCTCCTACGTACAGCTGACTGATGATTTCCAAAGAACCACGTCTCCAATCTCATCAACTGCCTACTCTTCAGAACCACTCGCCTTCGCTGAAGATGCTGACATAATCTACGGACTTATATTAATCGCTATATTTATTCTGGGAACGATCGGAAACACAACGAGTTTTATTTATTTCCGATCAAAGAAAAAGGATATCGCAAACACCACCTACATGCTCATAACAATAAACGACATCATCGTCAGTATAACCGCACTTCCAGCTGCACTTTGTTTTCTTGCCGGACGAGATCCGGGCTTGATATTCGGGGATAAAACGGGGATTGTAATCTGGTTTTTCTTGTGGGAAGGCTCGGTTAGACTGAGCATCTTTCTGGTGATATGTCTGTGCATCACCAGAACTGTTGCCATGTTGAGACCTTTCTACTTTCAAAAGATCCGATACCTAGTCGCAGCTGTCATGGTATATTTACTGTTCCAGTTGATTCAGCTCATAGTGATAGTCCTGATTGGAGACTCAATAGTGATACGTTTCGATCATCTCTACGCAAGGCCTGTAGCAAGGCTAACGGACCTGGACATCATAACCAACACAGCCCTCTTCTACGCTGTTAACACCCACATCAACGACATCACCCCTGTACTCGTGGTTGGAACCTGCTGCATCATCTCCATAGTGAAACTGAGACATCAAAGAGGACAACAGCAGTACGAACGACAGAAGTCAAGAAGCAGAGCTACCAGCACAATCCTGATGTTCTCTCTAGTATACGGAATCTGTAACATTCCCTTCAGTCTGGAGAACACCCTAAGAACCCACGCTCTCCTGACCGGCAGCTGGGATATCTACTACAACCTGTACAAGTACGACACCCTCCTCTACCTCTACTACAACAACATCACTCATACCCACCTCCGCGCTGCTAACTCCGCTGCTAACCCCGTCTTGTACTACTGGAGGATGCCACGACTCCGAGACCATACAGTCACGTGGGTTAGAGACCACACTGTGTCCGTGGTGGGGAGGGTGTTTAGGAGGCTGAGTGGAGGGGAGGAGGAGAATGGGTTCGTGCACCGCCCCCAGACTGGTAGGACCACGCCGGGAGTGTTGGAAGCTAACTTGTGAAACAGAACTTGGTCCGGAGTCAGGCGACACTTGATATATTGGGAGGTATTATTATAGCATGTTGTTTCAGCTTTGTTATTTACAAGTAGTTCAATAACTAGCTCTTAATCACACGGTCAGATTTTCCCTTTTTAGGTGCCGAAGATAGTGCACGCCAAAGGCAGGGTTATCCTTGGGGGTGCGCCTAAATGCTAAAATCCATCAGAACCAATTGCAGCGATGGCCACTGGCCAGTAGTCATCGATCACGTTTACCCTAACCGCCGATTAAACTGACCGATTAGGGTTCTTTTCGGCTCATAAGGTCATCACTCCCTTTCCCCGGAGAGGACTTTCTTTCTCTCTCTGTGCTCAGGGTCCTGGACGCGCGACAAAGGCCTCTGCGCGGTATGCTCGGCACCCTGGCGGCGTATATTGAAATTATAAAACTCACACCATGTGAAATCGTACCATATAATCACAAACCTTCAATTTTAATGCTGTATACCGGTCATACAAGCATGGCTTTGCTCCACATAATGATCGTCGATGGCGAATCATATTTTTTGGTCCAATTCGAAACTGTAAATGCGAGGCATCCAATTCATTCTCGATTCAAATGTGAAAGTAAACCTGTTCGTCATGCTTAATTTGTTAAAGTCTAAAGACAAAATACTGAGTAAAGTTGGATAGTATAGCAGTATATATAGCAGTATAGGGTAGTGTTCACTTATTTACAGAGAGTTATACCGTGGTCTTATCTTTTACATTTCAGGGAAAAGATAACGATGAGACGTTACAGTCAGTGAACATCAGCCAACTGGTCCACGACGGCAGCGAGAGGTTAGTCCAGTTTGCCACGTTTTCTAATTCATTTAGTTTTTTAAGTTTATTTAGTTAATTATTAAGTTAATTCATTTTAAAATATCTAATAAACGGTTTAATTTTAAATGTGACCCGATCCCAACCCCATCCATTTTATTCGGTTGTTGAGATCTAATATAAACACCATTCTGTACGGTTTCCATCTTATCTCTATTATATGACAGTTCCGGGCCCTAGTATTGCTGTAGACTGTTGAGTATAGACACTAGACCCACATAACGCATGTGGTTATGCTCGACAGTTCAAAGTGACATAGATAAATACTGCTCAGCCAGTTTTCAAGTATAGACATCGTCCATGATCTTATCCAGACATTATTTTTTAAGCTTATCAATGATTTAATAAATTTTAAACTTTAAATCATACGTCACATTACAACAACGCATCTCTTCATTCTTACTTGATCTCCTCTGATCAGCAAATATGCACTGGATATAGTTACTGATGACTAAAGTTCCTCCAAGGGTCGACCGAGTCCTCGGCCTCGGCCTCGGTTTTACCGAGGAATGGCGATTTTTCCTCGGCCTCGGCCTCGGCCTCGGTCAGGAGGACAATTCCTCGGTTCGCCTCGGCCTCGGTCAAAAATAGATTCGAAATTCCTCGGCCTCGGCGAAATTTGACGATTTTACCGAGGATTTGACCGAGGATTTTTGTAAGGTTTGTGAGGTTAATGTAAACGAATTTGTAAAATTGAAAATAAAACGACCAATTGACCAGGACACAAAACTAAAAATATCATAGTCTAAGATTCATCGTCTGATGAAATGACAATATCTGAGCACTCTGAATCAGAATAATCTTCTGTGCACAGCTCAGAAGAAGGGGGACAGTCCTCTTTATTTGGGGCTTCAAATTCATTTGGACAGGGGCCGAAGTCGTCCCCAAATCTTCCGATGTTCTTTTTGAGAAACAAGCACCCCTCAAAGTTTGTTGGCTTAAGGCTGAGGCGATTTAACTTCAGGATGTGCCCTGCTGTAGAAAACAATCTCTCTGGTGCTGCTGAGCTCGCCGGCGCAGATAGATATTTCCTTGAACACTCAGCAAGGTTCGGATAGGGGTGGGCGACAATTGACCCCCCGACAATTGACCCCCCGACAATTGACCCCTGACAATTTACCCCCCGACAATTGACCCACGGCTGACCTTGACCCTGACCCAGGACCCAGGACCCAAGACCCAGGACCCAGGACCCAGGACCCAGGACCCTGACCCTGACCCTGACCCTGACCCTGACCCTGACCCTGACCCTGACCCTGACCCTGACCCTGACCCTGACCCTGACCCTGACCCTGACCCTGACCCTGACCCTGACCCTAACCCTGACCCTGACCCAGGACCCTAACCGTAACCCTAACCCTAACCCTAACCCTGACCCAGGACCCTAACCCTAACCCTAACCCTAACCCTGACCCAGGACCCGATCAATTGACCCCAGTGTAATTACATGGGGGTCAATTGTCGGGGGGTCAATTGTCGTACTAAACCCTAGATTTCGCGACAATTGACCCCAGTGTAATTACATAGGGGTCAATTGTCGGGGGGTCAATTGTCGGGGGGTCAATTGTCGGGGGGTCAATTGTCGCGGTACCTCGGATAGCTCTGCTTATTAGCATGCCCACTCCTGACTCTTGGCGAACTTGCCCCTTCATAATGATTGTAACGTGTGTACACAGTATAGTACACAGTACAATCTGATTAGGTACAGTGCGCTTTTCCTAATAAACAATGCCCTTTTTCCCAACAATTTTTCTGCCAAAATTCCTCGGCCTCGGCCTCGGTCAAAATTTGCACTCCTCGGCCTCGGCCTCGGCCTCGGTCAAAAAAAGAAACCTCGGTTGTCCTCGGCCTCGGTCTTAACTAACTGTATTTTCCTCGGCCTCGGCCTCGGTCGAAAATCCTGCCCTCGGTCGACCCCTGAGTTCCTCTGATCATGCATTATCTCATCCATCAGAATGACAAAGCTTCCACCACTCATACATCTCCTCTAAAAGTACTGTTATTTCCACATCAAAGCTAATCTGTCCCTTAGACTCTTAGAACACGTGACCAGCAGTGCTGATAGTACTGGGTTTAACGCTCTATATTCTCTTCTATATTATAGAGGAATATAGAGTAATATACAGTAATATAGAGCAATATAGAGTAATATAGAGCAATATAGAGCAATATATTATATACTCTGCTCTCTCTCTCTCTCTTTGCTTGAGACTGCTGCTTGATTGTTTATAGTCCACTCTGCACAGTGTCAGCCGCACATTGCAGATTACTCGTACTGCTTGTACTTCCAAGTCCGGTAATATTCCGTTTAGACGCTCTTTGCAAGTTGTGTCTGGGAAATATCGCAGTTCCAAGTTCAGTTTCTGAGTTGTTCCTGTGAAAGTTTACAGTTCTAAGTTAAGTTTCTGAGTTTGTTCCTGTGAAATTTTGCAGTTCTAAGTTAAGTTTCTGAGTTTGTTCCTGTGAAATTTTACAGTTCTGAGTTAAGTTTCTGAGTTTGTTGCTGTGATTTGTTTGATCCGCCCCTCTCTCTCAATGGACGGCTACAAGACAGTGTTCTGGTGAGTATACCTGAAATAATCAGTTGTATTCCGTGTATCGTGTTTCATAGTGACTCCCAGACAGAGAGTTGACATTATCAACTCTCCAGATATAATAGATTATACTGACTAGGTCTAATTGCCGTAATGAGTTGTTAGATCGGGACTGTCATATTTGGTGTGGAGTGTTGAGGCACGGGTACGGTGTGTAAAGTGGTCCCCACACCGTAGAGTGCTCTGCACCGGGGTGGGGACCACTTTACGGGGTGGGGAGCACTTTACACACTCAGTTTGTACCATATTCGGGGTAGTATTTTCTAACATTACCTTAGTTTGTACCGTATTTAGGGTAGCATTTTCTAACATTACATCTGTTTCGATGTGACTGCAACAGCCGCTTTGCTCAAGCGGAGTGTTTGTACAATTTGCTATTTGCTCTCTCTCTCTCTCAATCCATGAAACGTAGACAACCATTAATGATAATTACAAAGGAGCAGCAGGAGGATCCTACATGTAGACATGACCTCATATTATGACCTGTACACCAATGTACAACATCTCCCAGTAGAGCAGGAGAGGAGGAGGGGACACTGATTGTACCTATTAGCTAATTGTCCTGTCATTTTCTCACTACTCACCCATCTCCTCACTTGAGTGACTCCTGCCTCTTTTCAGTGTTCTATACCCTCTCTTGTGTCAGTGTCTCTCTCACTACAGCCCTGAAACCTCCCTCGTTTAGTTGTTGTCTCCTTGCTGCTGTCCTCGTTTAGTGTAGTTGTTGGTGTCTACTTGCTGCTGTGGTTTGTTCTCGTCTTGTAATGTAATAATGTAGAGTCTACCTATAGTCTACATTGTAGAATATAGGTCTGTAGGTTCCCAGAATGTGGTTGAAATTTACATGGTTTGTTGCAGTTGGTTTCCTGTCCTGTGACCGCGTATTATGGTTTTTGTCGCTTTTAACAGTTTGTTGAAGATCGGTTTTAATGTCAATGCTAGTTGCTTCGAAAATATATAAAACCTTGAAGAAATTATGTATAATTAAAGTATAGTATGCTATTAAAAGTGGGCCCAGTCTATTGCTTTTCCTTGTGTTTTTGTTGTCCTAAAAAGTGTACCAAGTTCACTACAAGTTCTATTGCTTAGTGTGCTCACCCCTCTGCCGCGGATAATTAGAGTTTTTAACTCCACATCACCTTATAATATTGTATTACCAGTGTAGTGTATAACCTGTGTAGGGTGGGCCATGTGTTCTGTGTTCTGTGTCCGGTCTGTGTTCGGTCTGTGTTCGGTCTGTGCCCGGTCTGTATCTCTGTTTTAGTTTGTTGATTATACCTGTTATGGGTATATTCTGTGAGAGCTATGCTGCAGTTAACACGTGCGAAATAACATTAACAATCTCGTTGTTATACAGACCTCACTAAAACGACCTTACTAAACTCAGCAGTTTGTAGTTTTCTCTGGTGTCAGTGCTATTTTGAAGATGGTGTTGTGTTGTAACGTTTTGTTTTACGGTATATTTCATCAATACTTGTTGTAACCAACAGCTTTTATTTGCGCTTCCATCACTTTCTTTCGAGCGAAAGACCATTTGGATTGTTAATATTCACGAATCGTCCCTCTTATCTAAAGTTATCAGCAAATTATATTAGTGCATTATTAGAAGACCAAGTGTAACGTAAACTGAAGAAGGAGGAATAGTTACATGTAGTATAACAGTACACTTTATTTAGAAGTAACCACATCAAACCTTAGTAACCAGAAGTAACCACATCAAACCTTAGTAACTAGAAGTAACCACATCAAACCTAAGTAACTAGAAGTAACCACATCAAACCCAAGTAACCAGAAGTAACCACATCAAACACAAGTAACCAGAAGTAACCACATCAAACCCAAGTAACCAGAAGTAACCACATCAAACCCAAGTAACTAGAAGTAACCACATCAAACCCAAGTAACTTGAAGTAACCACATCAAACCTAAGTAACCAGAAGTAACCACATCAAACCCAAGTAACTAGAAGTAACCACATCAAACCCAAGTAACCAGAAGTAACCACATCAAACCCAAGTAACCAGAAGTAGCCACATCAAACCCAAGTAACCAGAAGTAACCACATCAAACCCAAGTAACCAGAAGTAACCACATCAAACCTAAGTAACCAGAAGTAACCACATCAAACCCAAGTAACCAGAAGTAACCATATCAAACCTAAGTAACTAGAAGTAACCACATCAAACCCAAGTAACCAGAAGTAACCACATCAAACCCAAGTAACCAGAAGTAACCACATCAAACCCAAGTAACCAGAAGTAGCCACATCAAACCCAAGTAACCAGAAGTAACCACATCAAACCCAAGTAACCAGAAGTAACCACATCAAACCTAAGTAACCAGAAGTAACCACATCAAACCCAAGTAACCAGAAGTAACCATATCAAACCTAAGTAACTAGAAGTAACCACATCAAACCCAAGTAACCAGAAGTAACCACATCAAACCCAAGTAACCAGAAGTAACCACATCAAACCTAAGTAACCAGAAGTAACCACATCAAACCCAAGTAACCAGAAGTAACCATATCAAACCTAAGTAACTAGAAGTAACCACATCAAACCCAAGTAACCAGAAGTAACCACATCAAACCCAAGTAACCAGAAGTAACCACATCAAACCCAAGTAACCAGAAGTAACCACATCAAACCCAAGTAACCAGAAGTAACCACATCAAACATAAGTAACCACCACTAAACCGCTCTTTTAAGTAGCTCCTTGTCTGCCCCCAGTGACAAATTAACATCACTAAACCACCACACATTAATCATCATCTCAGCATATATATCCAGAGTACCTCCTGAATACTGGCTTGTCATTGGCTGTTCACCACATCACGTGACTTTGATACTGGCTTCTGAGTGGCTTGTTGGGATTTTACTGTCATTCTATTGGTGGAAGGTGAGGGTAGGCTCCAGCTCTCCTCTGGCTTACGAATGTCTGTGTACCATTAAGCAAAGTGTACCTGTGCTGCACATGGAACTTTGTTCCACATTGTTTTTTGTTGTTCTTTACGGGCTTTAACATGAACAGCTTTTATTCTATCTGCGCGCGGCTTGTAAGTTTGCACGTGCATAATATGTGATCGTTATTGTCCGGTTAATGCACTACAATCTACTAAATTTTAACTGACCAAGTTTGCCGCTTCTATTGGTCTCACAACACACAAGTTGAAGTTAAAGACGATGACGTGAAAGTCGACGAAAGATAAAATGTATACCCGTTTGATTCACTGAGCCAAGTCGTGCTACGTTGGAGAACTGGTTACTGGTTACTAGAACTGGTCGTGCTACGTTGGAGCTCCAGTTAGGAACCTCGTTTAGTGCTCTAAACCCGTGGTTTAATAAACTTGTGTCTGTGGTTTGCTGGAGTGTATTGCAGGCTAATTGTCAGTGCAGTATGACAGTGCAATATCCTGTGTTGTTGGTGGGTTGTGGCTGGGAGATTCCTCAGATTCTGGTTTCAGTGGTACGATGTTGGAGGTTGCTGCAGTTGAGATCCCAGACAATTTTACCCTCACCTTGTTTTTTATGTGTGGCCCTGACCTCACTAATACGTTTCTTCTGAACCACCAAGTTATTGTCTTGTCACTGCATGTTGAGCGGAAGGAAGATCAAGTTTGTTGTCCTGAGTTTCATATATCTTAGAATGGGCTCATATTTTTCCTAGAGTCAATATTTGAGAGTTTCCGTTAATATCTTAATGTGAACTCACAACGTGTATGAGTTTTGCAGAATTGTATTGTTTAATAGAATCACGTCAGAACTAAGTATGCCCTATTAGCCTAACAAGAACGTTAACTTGCGTTGTCAACGGAACAGTTCGTATAATTGCATAATTAAATAAGTAATTAAATAAGTTGCAACTGGCCAGTTAGCAGGACTTTCTAACTAACTATTGGTATGCTTTAATCTGCTATTATTTAATAGTACGGGCCGGGACACTATTTCAAGTCAGTTTGTGCATTTCATTGTTTTTGAGGTTTCTAAACCATTTTAACGGAAACTTATCTGTCTCTAACACAGTGTAACAGTGTAACAGTGTAACAGTGTAACAGTGTAACAGTGTACAGTGTACAGTGTACGTGTAACAGTGTAACAGTGTAACAGTGTAACAGTGTAACAGTGTAACAGTGTAACAGTGTAACAGTGTAACAGTGTAACAGTGTAACAGTGTAACAGTGTAACAGTGTAACAGTGTAACAGTGTAACAGTGTAACAGTGTACAGTGTAACAGTGTACAGTGTAACAGTGTACAGTGTACAGTGTAACAGTGTACAGTGAACAGTGTAACAGTGTAACAGTGTAACAGTGTAACAGTGTACAGTGTAAACAGTGTAACAGTGTAGTGTAACAGTGTAACAGTGTTACAGTGTAACAGTGTAACAGTGTAACAGTATAACAGTGTAACAGTGTAACAGTGTAACAGTGTAACAGTGTAACAGTGAGCTCTAGTTTCACTGCCAGACTCTGGATATAGGTGGTTGTTTGGAGTTGTATTGTTAATAATGTAAGCACATGTTCAACACGCTTGTTTTACCTTTGTTTTGCCTCGTTGTTTTTATGAAGTTGAAGATATGTTATTTGTTTTATTCTGTTTCATGTTTAACTTTAGTTAATACTGCTATGTTTTGTTATTTAATTTTTGTTAACCTCTGTCTTTACTTTCGTCATCTCTTTGTTACTTTTATTTTGTCTGAGCCTAAAATAGAAACCCACGGTCTGCAGTTGAGGTCACTTGTTTTTCAAGCAGCTCTGTTCATCTAATAGTTGTAATATTATTGGACGGTTTTGTTATTACTCGCAGTTCAAAAATAGTGTCCCTTCACACATACATTTAGTCAGGACCAGACATTTCGTTCGGATCAGTCACCAGATTTCGTAGCTTGTTCCAAAAATTCAAGATCTTTTTCCTGAAATAAATTGGGAATTAGCTGTTAGATTTATCACTATTTAAAAGTTAAAGATAATTTCCCTGATTGAAGCTGAGTATGAGTGATAGGTTCCTGTACAACACGCTCTCATCAGTACAGAGTCACTCTCCCCTCCCTTACATCCCTAATATACGGTGAGTGCTACTTAGTGCTACAGTAAAACCCCTATTTACCGCGCCCCGATTTACCGCTCCCCGATTTACCGCTCCCCGATTTACCGCGCCCCGATTTACCGCTCCCCGATTTACCGCTCCCCGATTTACCCCTCCCCGATTTACCCCTCCCCGATTTACCGCGCCCCGATTTACCGCGCCCCGATTTACCCCTCCCCGATTTACCGCTCCCCGATTTACCGCGCCCCGATTTACCGCGCCCCGATTTACCGCAAACCCCGATATACCGCGAACCCCGATTTACCGCAAACCCCGATATACCGCGGCCATCTCCTTTCCCCCAAATAGGGCTTAACATGTATTATGTAATCAAACAAAACCCCGATTTACCGCGAACCCCGATTTACCGCGGATGTTCCCTTCCCCCAAACTCCGCGGTAAATCGAGGTTTTACTGTACTTAGTGTATCTTCGTGCGACTTAGTGCATCTTAGTGTATCTTCGTGCGACTTCATGCGGCCAATGAAGGGCCCACGCATTCCATTTTAATGCGATGTTTGTGGCAATTAATAACCATATAATATGATCAAAGTACCTCTTTCAATCGAGACTAAAATCTTTAAAATGTTCATCATTTTGTTATTTGGTCAGTCTCACTATCTCTAATCGCTGCAAATTAGTGGATAAGAAGAAAATTGTGTTATCATTCGTTATGAGCAGCTTTATCTATTTCGACACAATTGAAAGACTCTCATTTTGCAAATATTTGTAATGGATTCGTCAACATTATTGTATCCCATCTTTTTTATCGTGTTTAAATAAATGGGGCTTTGGAAGAGAGTGAGCCGTCTAGCCTGCTTTATAAAGCACAAAAAACGTGAAGTAGCTAATTTTACATGCGTTGCAATTCGGTTTAGAGTGGGTAAAAAGAAATGCTATCTTTGGAACGGGTTTGTTTAAAGTGCCGTTCAGAAATATAGACCGTTTATTACACTGCATACGTACAGTTTGGTGTTATCACCTGCAAATATTCCATTCTCTTGTTTCGATTCAATAGGAATGTAACCTTCACGTTCACCAGTTAATGAGACAAAGTACGGTACCCCATCTAGATTATAGGTTGACTTACCCAACTTATAATTCTGTAGCTACAGTCGATTCAAAGTTTATGATTGTAAATGTACCAAAGTTTTAGTGACCCCCCACATTCCAATAACACCACTTAAATTTCAGTGACTCCCCGCCCAGTTCCCCTGACAATGTGCTAGGCAGTAAACCTTCTGATATTGACAAACTCTACAAACAGTTCTACAGAGAGAACGCTCACACTCCTTCAGGTAATTCCTCGCAGTTCTAAGTCTGTCTGTTTGTTTGTGGATTTGTAGATATTTGTCTGTTTGTCTGTTTGTTTTTGGGTTAGTAAATGGTTGTCCGTTTGTGTAATATGATACGCACTCTCACTAACTATTCTTATCTGAACAACTATTCTCCTTGATTTAATCTCCTTTAAAATGACCACTCCCCCAGACCTAGGTCTTCAGTTCAGGGCCCCCTCAGATCTAGACTACTACCCCACAAAACAGACCCCTAAAGTGTACCCCAAGTCCCCTAAACCCGCTCCTAAAACATACGGTGCACACAGCTCTGCTCTTCTTACTTCTAGTATCAGGAGTCATAATGGTTCTTCAAGTGGTCTCTCCAGGTACAGTTTATTATTATTTTCTTATTAGTGAGGGGTGAAGACTTAGGAGGAACTCCAGGGAGTGATTCTCCTCTCTCTGTTTTATATCATTCGAAAGACTTCCTAAGGACTTAATTAAGCATGCTAAGTTTAGTTTAACAGAAATTCTATCGCCTTATCCTGTCTTTTAGTTCTTATGATAGAAGGATAAAGTCGACATGAAATTTACTGAGTTCCTAACTGGCTCAGTTGTTCCATCCTTTATAGAAATCCAATAATCACCCCCACAGGCCGGGTTCAAGACACAGCTCGAACAACAGCGGACCCCCACCGTACAGTGTGACAGGTGTGTCCTCCCTAGCGGGGGGTGCGACCCCTTCTGTTGGGGGTGCGACCCCTTCTGTGGGGGGTGCGACCCCTTCTGTGGGGGGTTTACCTCCTACTTTAAATTCAGTATTACACTCGGACACAATGCCGTATTGTGGGGCAAGCTCGTGTAGTGGCAGTCAAGCTAACATCTTCGCCAGTACACCTCTCTCCTTGTAAGTTTTTATTTTGATCTGAACTTTTTTATCTTCTTAGGTTTCATCCGTGAAAGTCTTGGCTCTTGTTGGCTTCTGACAAAGGTTTAACTGAACTAGTATAAATATATTTAAGCATTATTATCGCAATTAATTTAATGAAAATCCAAACTTCTACTTAGATTACGGAGTCATTGCCCTTACTTCTTGAACTTTCTAAATCTCACGGTTTTTGTGGCCACTCTGACACTTTACTAAAGGTGTTCAGTGTTTACATGATAAAGCGAGCGCTGGATAGCTTTGCTTTACATATTATGTAGGGAAAACGGGTCAATGTTATTCCTAGTTCAGTCTTACCTTTCTGAAACGTTTCTAATCTCTTACGAGGTTGATTTATGGTTTATAATTTATATCACTTGTTTTTACTTTATTTCGCTTGTTTTATACAATGTGACTACCTCACTCTCAGCTCTGAGATCAATAATATGTCCATAGCAGTCTAAAATATTTTGCTAAAACAAAATATTTTATAAAAAATAAAGCTGTTCCCCCTCTTTTAGTGACGTGATGTCAGGGCGTAACTCCCAGTCATCAGGCCGCTACACCCCCTCCCCCTCCTGCGATCTCCTCGACTCAGGCACCAGGAAGATGTTGAATACCTCTACTGGGGACCACATGTTCACATCTGGTTCCAGTATCGCTGAAAGGGGTGAGTTAATGACAGTGTGAGTACAGTGTGACTACAGTGTGACGACAGTGTGACGACAGTGTGATTATAGTGTCACTACATTGCTGACAAACTTACTAACAAGCTGACTCGATAACAAAGTCAGTGTCAACTCACTAGCTGACAAAGACACTAAGTGAATAAGCGACTAAGTGACACGACAGAATGCTGAGTGACAAACATGGGAAATTAACCCATTTCACTATACTGTTAGTAAATTCCAGTCAATCTCAATCAGTGGGCCTGAGTCCTGGCATTTTAATTCGTTCCTGTCCGAATGGCTACTGGACAGTTGTCGGTCACCCGTCTGAAAGTCCGATACTTGATCTGAGATCAGTCCTAGTCCTGCAGTCTGCAGTACATGACACTATGACACTATGACAGGTGTGTCTCAGTGCTATACAAGCTGGGTTCGCCTGATTGCACCTCATATCCTCCTCCTTTACAGACCACGTGACACTGTTAATGTACCACGTGATATCTTCAGTAACCATAGCGACACTTCCTTGAATGTCACGTGATATCGTCAGTAACCACGGCAACACTCCCTCCAGCGAACTGTGGGCCTGGTCTTGTCATGCAATCTAGTGTCATGCAATCTGTACTGCTGCACGTCTCCCAGTAACTCTTTAGTCTCTTTGTTGTACTGTAACATTGCGGTCCGTGTTTTATTTGACTCTTTGCGATTTGAGGTTTATTCAAATTGAAACTCGTTCTAGTATAGAGCACTAGATTCATTTTTATGACAATAGCAAACTGATCACATTCCTTGATAAGTAGTTTTTGTTAGATATCATTAATAACTTACAAATTATTTATTCTTTGTTTTTGTAAGACTTTATTAATAACTTAGTTTTGTTAGATGTTAGGTCACAGTGTAAGCAGTGACACGTTTGCTAGTTGTACGACCCTTTGTAGAACTCGCAAGTGTAAGCGTTCAGGTGAATTTATCTGTTTGTTAGTTAGTTAGTTAGTTAGTTAGTTAGTTAGTTGGTTAGTTGGTTAGTTAGTTAGTTAGTTAGTTAGTTAGTTAGTTAGTTAGTTAGTTAGTTAGTTAGTTAGTTAGTTAGTTAGTTAGTTAGTTAGTTAGTTAGTTAGTTGGTTGGTTAGTTAGTAAGTTAGTAAGTTAGTAAGTTAGTAAGTTAGTAAGTTAGTAAGTTAGTAAGTTAGTAAGTTAGTAAGTTAGTAAGTTAGTAAGTTAGTAAGTTAGTAAGTTAGTGAGTTAGTTAGTTAGTTGGTTAGTTCGTGTTTTGTAATAGAGATTAGAGGTCAAATTCTAAATTTCGATTCTTTATTGCAATTTCATGCTTTTAACAGCCAGTTTTGAGTTTTTCCAGACCCTACTTAATAAATATGATTTACAACTTCTGATTGAACCTTTGGACAATTAGACGGCTACATTCTATGATATGCATTATGCACATGACTAATTTCTTAAACCCCATACCAAAAATTCATCAAAATAAAGACGGCTTCTAGCTATTACATAGTACGATGAGAAGATAATATGTGTCCTGATAAAACGTTAAATACTCACCTCCATTTAATTTCTTTTGAAACCGTGCTATAAAAATTCTAGCAAGAGTTTCAGTGAACCGTACACGCAACGTCTTGGATGATTTTATCGGGTTTCTTTCATCTCCAGCGAGGCTCGTTATACCATGAGTTATTCACGAAATTTGCATCAACATGCATCTCGATACAATATACAAGTACCCCGCCCAAACCAGTTCATGGTGAAGTGTCTGGTGTAAGGCGCCGTTATTACACAACGGTTACTTAGCCTGGATTTTCAGACTTTGGGACACCAGTTTTGGGGCATACCAGGCTGCATTTAGCAGGTTTATCCCCGTTTTATCCAATTATCTACTTCCCCTTAGTGCACGTAACACTCACACTTTACTAGCTGGCTAGGTGCCAGGACTTGTCCCCCATTGGTTAATGTGGCTCTGTTCTGGGTTGTGATTGGTTACTGGTTAGAGTTCTGTCTGAGTGTAATAGTCTTGTTGTTTTCAACATTCGCACACCTTCCTCCCGCCCATTAATGTGTACAGGAGTTTCAACCAATCACACTCTAGAATTTATATCACGTGACTACTCATTAACCAATGCGCGCGCAGGACTGTGCACGTGCGCCGCGATGTCACGTGTTAAGGTAACGTTGGGATAGTGTATGCGCTTGTTATAATATGCATTGTCCATGTTTGTCTTGTATGTTACAACTTTTTGAGACCTCTTCACATCATCATGCCGCCTGACCTGATAATCGGGAAGATGAGTAAGTTCCAACAGTCTAGAACCTACCAGAACGTACTAGAACATACTAGAAAGTGCTGGGAACTTCAAGAAAGTCCCCTACTTTAACCCACCTAATTACGTAATCTCACACGTCGCCCCTCTCATTGTTCAACAAATCGGTACATTTCCTCGTAGTATACCACACACACACACTCTCTCTCTCTCTGTTAAGTGCCCCACTGTCACTCACACACTCTCTCACTGGTCTGCATCCTGCCACCATGACCGGTTGGTCCACTTGTAACCTCTAGTTGTGGGTTTGCAGCAGTTTGTTGCTCTCGTTTATGTGAAGTCTTGTGTGATTACTATTGGTATTCTTTTAGTTTGGTATGGCTAGGTCTCGCGTTAAACCGAGTTTAACTCTCTCTACAATCTGTGAGTGCTGATCATTTCTTCTTGTGCTGATATTGCTGTATTAATGTTGAGAGTAATAAAAATAGTGAGTAATAATACTCAATAACCCCACCTCAAATCATACTATACCATGAAGGCTCTTATGGACGTGTTTAAATTCCCATAAAGAATAAGGATGCGTCCCTTTGTCCTATAAAGCTATAACAAATAACACCACTAGAAGTTTTACATTTGTCAAACATGGTACAGTGCACGTCCAGCTAGTTGCTTGTATTTGATGTTGTCTTAGTAGTTGTTAATAGTATGAGCGGGTGTTTTGTTTTTGGTAAGCTGCTTCTATTGCTGCTGTGTTTTCTTAACACATGATGTAACATAGTCTTACTATTCACTACTGACTTACAAGTACAACACTTATTCGAGACACCACTTATTCGAGACACCACTGACTAAAGAAAAACGTCCCCGATTTGTATCGTTAAATCGAAAATAAAAACCAACAAAATATCTAAATTGTAACTTGAACCTGTTGAAACTGCTGATTTGTCACAAGGATATATATTAACGTTCCTTGTCCCTCAGCAATCTCGCCTCCCATCCAGACACCAGTTACTCGGGGGTACGCTTCTTCAATGCCAGTACTGGACACCGAGAACATTGAACCTAACAAGGTTTGTAACATTAATACTTTCTACGCAACTGTATTTAGTTATGTTTAATAAATTAGTTATTTAATCAGTTATGTTTAATAAATTATTTGAATTGTTTTAGTAAAGCTTCCTCAAAAGATCTGCACCTTTTAGTCAGTCAACAAATATAGCGTTAGAGGTTACTGAATACTGTTTAATTTAGGGTTATGGTTATGAACCGGATACTTTTCACTGGTAGTCGGGTGTGACTTTAAATATTGTAATGTTAGATCCTAAAGATAACCTACAAATTGAAATTCCCACACTTTGTTAATTATATTCCCAGTAATCAATTACATGACTTCCCAAATTAGCTCCTTAAAGACGTCAGTTAATGCTCGGCTGGAGCCCCAAAACTTCATCAGGCGTCCACCAATCAGTGAACAGTATCCCGTTATTAACCAATCAGAGCGCGGTATAAAATCACGTGATATGACTTGCAGGATCCATTGTGCAGCTGACTTCCTGGTTTTATTGTCTCCAGCTCTGCTGTCTGCAGCGAAAAGAGTTACATTTATTTTAGACAACTGTATTTACTAGCGGAGCTATTTGTTGTGTATTGATTTATCTTAGTTGCAAAGCCACCACCGTGGTCATTGAAGGTTGAGGTCTAGCCTCCAACTTTACTTGTTTGTTGTTATTCTGAGGAAAATGACGCGGACTCTTAACATCCTGCATCTCCCTTGGAAACCCGTTTACCTGCTGAATAACGTATGTCAGCCTCCCGCATTCATCAATCTTTATTTTATTTGGCGTTGAACGACTACTGAGTCTCACGGAATGTTCTGGGGTTCTGAAAGTATCTTATGTTCTGTAATTAGACTCGATAAAACAGAAAGTCTAGCTCCAACTTATTGCTCCTACTCCCTTGGCTGAAGTTTTCCCGGCAGAACAGTCATTTTCTTTAAGCGAGTTGGGAGAAATCCATTCAAAGCGTCCTTGAACCTGATTTGATAAATTAACCACCAACCAACGTACTTATTAACCAGCGATTTTGAATATTGACTTAACTGACCGTCTGATCAGGGTTGTGGTGGATACGTGGACAGTAACAAACTGGCCGGAGCACGGACCGCCTCTCAGATCTCCTACAACAACTCCAGGATAACAAACCTCTCCAGACAGTCGCTCAACAAGAGACCTGCTAAGAAGTGCTCTGATAACACCAGTGCAGGTCAGTCACAGTTCAAACCGGATCCCTTTATTTACTGGGTCCCTTTATTTACCGGGTCCCTATATTTACTGAGTCCCTCTATTTAACCGGGCTTGGTTCATGGAAGATGATGGTTAACTAGAAATCTGATTTACATAATATCTTGAGAATTATTAACAATGATCACTTGGGGGCCTTTTTGATAAACTAGGGATGTACATTGTACATTACTTAAAAGAAAAGGTGGAGTGGCTGGAACCTTCCGATTAAGGAAACCTTATCGTAATTTAATTTTCTTTTCCACGAGCAAATTATAACGTAATTTTAGAAAAGAAAGCTTAATTGATTCAAACAAAGCTGCTTACAAATTTGGTTGCGCTAAATTCATTTTTCATACATTTTGAAGTATTAACATTCGCTACAATACAGTGAAACTATGCTATGTGTTTAAGAATGTTATCAGTTGAAATCATAAATGTAACAAGTTGTTTTAAAAAAGCTTCTCGATCGATCACAAGATATAGATACCGTTATTTATTATGCTTTATAATAAGCCACATCTCCCACAACAATTTAAACCACTTTTTACAGTGAATGTTGCGATATTTTTATTAATCCCAAATAATCACTCTTATCTAGATAATCAATTATACGATGATGACATGGAAATATATGGTGCCAAAATTCCAACTTAGTACGTTGTTTAACAATCAATACTGCATAACTCTTAAATTCAAGAATCAAATGTGTAATCAATATCACCTCTTACTAAGCTCACATGACCATAACGTGAGAACCATTAGTGTTTTTGTGCTAATTCCACTCAATAATATAAAACTGTTTGTAAGAGGTATACAATTTACAGGCTCACTAACTTGATAATAAAATCATAACACATGCTAAAGAAACTGGGTGAAAAGAACTCAGCAAACATTAAAAAAGTTGGACTCTATGAGTCAGTGTCGTCCCCGGCCTATGATCGTCCCCGCTCTATGAGTCAGTGTCGTCCCCGGCCTATGATCGTCCCCGGCCTATGAGTCAGTGTCGTCCCAGGTCTATGATCGTCCCCGGTCTATAAGACAGTGTCGTCCCCGGCCTATGATCGTCCCCGGTCTATAAGTCAGTGTCGTCCCCGGCCTATGATCGTCCCCGGTCTATAAGACAGTGTCGTCCCCACTCCTCACACCCATAATGAGCTTCCATAAAGTGAGCCATAACTCCTGATGTTATCCCGGCATCCTTAAAGTGCTCTGAAATAATAGTATTGTGTTATTGGTAGGGGGGGGGGGGGGGGGTTCAAATTTTTGCAATAATGACATCGCGTTACTGGTCATTAGATATTATTACAGTACCTTACAGCCTAATACTGATAGAAAAACCACATAATGATATACTGATTGTTCAAGTGTGTCATATTATATTCCTACATATTCCAAATTTGTATCTACTCGCTTGTTCGAAACTTACCAACCATTGTGAACTCGAAGGGTTTGCAGTTTTCATCTCGGTGGTAGTGCCGGAAGTGTTGAATCACATTCTCCGTCATGTTCGTGCCCACAAACCTTTCTGAAATGATAAGTGCAATGAACACCAAGAATGTCAAAGTTTAAAGTTCACTTTACAAAAACCTTACAGTAAACCGTATAGTTATTTTGTAGAAACTGATTTTAAATAAATGAATAAACAAAAAATGTAGTAACGATAATAACAGAAAAAACAGAAGCATTCCTAACATCACTAACCCAACATATTCCAACTGGTGGTGAGTTTCTGGAACAGCTCATTTGAAAAGACCTTGTTGAAATATGGGGGAGAGCAGGAATACCCACCGGTACCCTCCAGCTCAGATGTTACCACCTCCAGCCCAGATGTTACCACCTCCAGCTCAGATGTTACCAACTCAGCTCAGATGTTACCACAGCTCAGATGTTACCCCCTTCATCTCAGATGTTACCCCTTTCAGCTCAGATGTTACCCCCTTCAGCTCAGATGTTACCCCCTTCAGCTCAGATTTTACCCCCTTCAGCCTCCTCCGACCTACTAAGTTCCTCCTCCGACCTACTAAGTTCCTCCTCCGACCTACTAACTTGGGCCTCTGCTCTGTCCAGCCTTCCAGTCACACTTGCCAGCTCCTCCCTCAACTTAGTTACTAATTCCTCTAGCTCACCTACAGTGTCTTCTCTCGGCTCACACACTTCTACCTCAGTCACAGACCCACTTCGTGGTCTCTCCACAATGTCTTCCCATTGAAGGACCCTAGTATCAGAGAATTCCCCTAGATCATAACAAAGTCCCCCCTCTGCTATTCTCTTTACTTCGGCCGGCTGCAGTACGTTGGAGTATATATTAAACTGAAAAAGTTCTCCTCCAAACGCATAAAAAAGGTGTCCACCATTACCAGCAGTCATTACCAAACAGTAAATTCCCTCCCATTCCCAGGCTTCTCGAACCTGACTGTGTTGTTCCTACCAAATCACCTTCTAGGTATACCTTTATAGTCCTGGAGGCTAAAGACCATGTTGCGCAATAACTGAACTACGTGCCTACTGGTACTGGGTAAGGGCCAATTATGTTCTCCAAACCGTGAGTAAATATGAATCTGTTATAGCTCTCCATTAGACGCTATAAGAATCGCGGCGCCTTCATTAGTGACGTATGATAACACCATCGGCCTTGCACCTGACGTGTGGGAACGTTTGATCCATGAACAGATGGACAGAGAATCTTGGAACGGGGCCATGTCATAATCGAAAGTTATGATATCGCCGACAGAACCTCGAAATTTCAGGGCACTATACTGCTTATCATTTGATGCAACTACGGGCAGGTAGAATAAGTAGATAACACAAAGAGAAACATTGCTGCGAGGTTCGATTGTGAAGTGAAGGTAGAATTATTGTTATAAGTAGTCTGGGGTGTTCGGAGACGATGAAAAGGAACTTCCTGGAGCAAAACTGATTACTCCTAACATGATGATGAACTAGTACTGAACCGGGAAAGTTAAAATGTTAGATAAGCTAGCTGGGTGGCACGGCAAACCTCGTTAACCAAGGCATTCTCCAACTTGATGATTCATCTCGCATTTATTTTGGGATTCACTTTAAGTTCAGAAACCTAACATGATGATAATGCAGTCTGGTATTATAACTTTATATTATATGAGATGGTTGTTGGAGGACATAGGACAAGGTTGCGAGATAAGATAAGATTATCGCTTGCTCAACACAATTTTGATAATTTGATCAAATCGTTGAGATTTGTTAATTATACTCCCACTTTAAAAATTCATGGGATTTAAAATTGGATATTTAAATATTATTTTTGGTTAACTGCAAGCACCCTCTAATTGCAAATTAAACGGACTACTATGATGTTAGGTGACCTCATATCAGAGAAACGGCAATTTTTTAATTTGTCGGCCTCACGAACAAACCCGAGATGTCGTTTGTCAACTACCCCCCCCCCTCCCCTCCCCTTTCATTACTTCTTCATAAACTACACAACCTCCCAAAAAACAGAGTCACGTGTGTTGTTAACCATCTCATCTGACCTCCCCTCCTCTTTCAGGTTCCTCCACCAGTTCTGAGCCGGAGTTACAGGACATTCTTAACATTCTGACGGGGAGTTCCAACCTTGCTTTGGTGAACACGGCAGCTGGCGCTCTCCAACACCTTTCTTACGGTAGCGACCTCATGAAGAACAAGATAAGGTTAGTTATTGTACGGTTAACAAAATATCTGGCTAGAAAATATCTGGTTAGATGATATCTGGTTAAATGATATCTGGTAAGATGATATCGGGTTAAATGATATCTGGACCAATGATATCTAGTTATAAATCTAGTTAGATCGCCCAAAGTAAAAGTAAGTAGATGATATGCTGTTAGAACTATCTCCAATCTAACACCTAGTCCCCCTCCCAGAGATGCCGGAGCTATCCCAATCCTAGTGCACATGTTATCTCTTGATGACCTGGTGTGTATCTCCTCACTGGGCGTTCTCCGAAACCTCTCATTCGGCAAAAACAACCATCTCAACCGGGTAGGTCTTATGTGTATACGTTTCTCACTTTGTTAGTTAGTTAGTTGGTTTGTTTGGCCCTCTGTTAGTTTGTTCGTTAGTTTGTTCTTTAGTTTGTTCGTTAGTTTGTTGGTCTACAAGTGTATCCTCTTAACAATGTTTTCGTAGTTTAACACCACGCTAAAAGAACAGTTGTCCTCGTATACTCTTTTTGTGGTGCAGGGTTCCAACTCCTCGCAAAATAACAGTGTATTAGCTTGTTTAAAACTAGTTTGGTAGGTGGCATGAGAAATCAAAAAAGGTTATCAGAAAAGAAGGAAAAGATGAGAGCTACGAGCTTAGTGTTTCTAGAGTCCACCTGAATAAGCCCTGCCGTTGAATGGCAACTACTCTGCTGTTCAGTACTCTTTCCCTGGACAATGGATCCAAAACGTTATACGCTATTTCAAGTACAATACCACTGTACATTGCATTGTACATTGCAACATTGTACATTGTCATTGCAACATTGTACATTGTACATTGTTGGTAACTCTGTTCTGACCGATGGAACATCCCTGTGTTCCGCAGTTCTTATTGAATGACGTCACAACACTCCTTATAAGGTAGTCACGTGGTGTTCTGATGACGTCACAACACTCCTTATAAGGTAGTCACGTGGTGTTCTGATGACGTCACAACACTCCTTATAAGGTAGTCACGTGGTGTTCTGATGACGTCACAACACTCCTTATAAGGTAGTCACGTGGTGTTCCTATTGCATGAAGCAGGATGCAACATTAATGAATACCCTTCCTCCTCCATTGCTTGGTCCGATAGGACTACATTTTACCATAGTTTATACCCCTGGGGCCTGGGTTAACGCCCTTTTCACTATCTAAATTCCATAACTTTGTGCTATCCATCTCCGAGATCTGTCAATGTTTTATCACGCAGTATTATATACAATCAGATATAGCCGAGGGACCGGCGCACGACCTGCCAACAATACATTAGCTGTTATATTATCAAGCTGAGGGACACGTTTTCTTTGTGGTCATGCAGAAAGATATCGTGCTTATTTCACTTCTTTGTGATGGCCGATCTCTACAGTAAGCTTATAACGAGCGATATGTTGATTTTATTCGCATTCTCCGCTTGTTATAGTTAGCAGTCAACATACCGACCGTAGTACTGGAATACCGCCAGAGATTCAACAAGTTGCTTGTAAAAGTGTTACGTGCGATCGATTGGATTAATTCTTCTTACTTCTTGCCTTCTCTTTGCTGCAAATCTATTTACTGATGTAGTCTCACTGATTTTTAATTAAACTTTGATCGTAAGCTGTAGTCAGCGATACGAACCGTGACTATAAAATCCACCTAATTTATTGCAATATTTTTCTAAAAATAGCAAGGGTTACAAGATTATTTGCTCCTTAATCCCGTATTATTAGTGTAGCGTGATAAACTAAATGAGTCGTCTGTTCTACATACCAGAGTTGGCAATTTAATCGAGTTTTTGAATCAGTGAATTCTTTGCAACCCGCCGTCTGCAACTGTGCAGTTCTGTTAACTTTCGTGTTCCCAGATTTAATTAAAATAGTTCGTTCCTAATTTAATAGCTGTTTAACCGCTGCGTTTAATTTAAGAAGGGTTGCAGGATTATTAAATTACTCAGTAGAATGGTTTCATTTCTGCAAATTTTAAACAAGTTATAGTGCGAATTTTTTGCATTTTAAATTGCTTTTTTACCCTCTCGGTAGGCCCTCATGGCCCACTTTCTATACCGTGATTTGTAGACTGAAAACCCGTCCTACGGACGCCTATAAGTTTGTTATAAACCAAGTAAGAAGATAAGTTGTTGGAACATCTAAGCAGTATTTCCGAATGACGTGTCAACATTCCTTATAAGGAATTCAAGTGTTATTTCTTATTTGGAGGTAAACTGCTGTGGAGTATTCAATACTCGGCTTGACGTTTCTTTTTAATGTTATTCCTTATAAGTTTTCTACACAGAAAGTCCCAGGATTGGTTAATTCTACACGACTTACGTCCACTCAAGCTATGTATTGAGCTAATATTTGTAAAGACCAGCATCTCGAGCGGTTCTCTCTCCCCTTTTGTGTATTTCTGACCCCACCCTGTAGATGCTCCCCTCTTTTGTATCTTCGTGTGACCTTTACCGTGCCCCTGTTCTTCGCTATATTCTGTGCTGGTCAAAAATTGTATCTGATAATAATAATTTTAATTTCAAATTGCGGCCGAATAGGGACAGTTCCAACTTCCTTTCGTAAACAAAAACTCCATAACTACTAAATATTTTAACGCATCATAAAATAAACACCACCCCAAATAACTGAATTCCACCCCGAAATGACTAGATATGAACTATTCCCTCCCACCACTACAATGTGGTAATACCACACCATATACAGTGTGGTATTACCATACCACTTACCTGCTGTACTCAACTGTCAGAGTAAAGGTTAATGACGCTGCACTGACAACCCCAACCACTGCCTTATAAGCACTTCTCGGAAAATATTTGGGATATTTAGGGATCTATTGCTGAGTCCGTTTTGCGATTTGCTTGAGAGGCTCATAATTTGCTGACTGAATCTCGTGTTGGCACAGTGTCCATAATGTTCTGATACGCGTTTGTAAAAGTTATTACTCTCTGTACTGTACTACAAGTAACATTATATTGTATTGATGACAAAGGATGCGTACATATTCCAGTGCATATAATTATAATACTACCCATGTTTTGAAACACTATATTATAACCGGTGACATTTAAAACCCGCGCATTAATTACACGAAGAGAGAGAGAGAGAGATCACTAGATCCTTCCTCTGACGTTTACTCCTCAGTATAACAAATACACTGAGTTGCAGTTCCAGATAATGGCTTCTTAATCACTTAATCACATAATCACTTAATGATCCTACTAGTCGTGGTGCTTGCTGTGTGTATGTGTATAACTCGTTTTCTTATTGTACTACGCTCTTGTTTGGCTTGCATGTGTGTAGGAAATGGTTGATGTGTTTGTTTGTTCTGCTTTTTCTCTTGAAACTGGCTAACTTTTTTTCCAAAATTCTCGTTTTGTTTGACTTGTTTTTGAAGTTTTGTTTTTGTTTTATGACATTGAAACATTATGTTATATTGGGAAAGGTATTTAATTGATCTCGTATGTATGATTGCAATCTTTGCATTGCAAGCTTTCTCTCTCTACTGACCGCAAATCGCATACATATATAGATGTAGTTAGCAGCCGGAGCATAAATCATTTATTTATATTTATGGACCTAAGAGTTTGCAAGATTGACAGATTCGAAGTTGGTGATTGAGGTCATCGCTTTACGCAATCAGCATGTTAAGAAAAAATGTTGGTACCTTTACCGCCAGCTTCAAATCATATTTACTATTTTGTTTGAATAGACTTTAGTTTTAGGATTTAAAAAAACATTCCTTGCAAATTTCGTCGGCCCAATTCCCAACCCTTGCCCTTTCTTTTTTTTAATCCTATTCTAAAGCACCCACCGCATTCCTCATTCGTAATTACAATAATCGATGAAGTTCATCTTCAAAGTCTTCGCCGAGCTAGTGGTACCAGAGCTAGTGGTACCAGAGCTATAACAGGAATACCCGAATAGCACTGAGGCATCAGTAACACCCAAAGTTTCATCCAGAGCAACACCGTGTATTTCCATATAATAACATCCAGTCTTTCGTCTGGTTCCATCTTACCAGAGCAGGGGTGACAGGTATTTTACAAGCTCACTGCCTCTCCATTGATAATTTTAGTGCAGACTCACAGCATCAGCACTCAGCAATCAGTAGCACTATCTTAGTGTGGATCTCTCGGTGACGCTCCAAAATTGAAGGCAGAATCTTAACAGAGTTTCCATACCATCTAGGGAGCATGGGGAGAATAAAAAGAAGAACGGACTCCATGCACTCGCAGATATTAAACCACAGACCTCACTGGGATTTCCTGAGATCTGTTACACCGCCACCTCTTCGAGAGATGGAAGTAACAGGACATTCTCATCGATCTGCTTTCAAATGGCAAAACATCCCGCCTTCTCCCAAGCAACAAAACGGAGCTGCTTACGACCAGCAGTTTATAAAGTTTCCTAAATTCGACATCAACCTGAACTCCCCCAATGCTGATGATTTACGGGAGGATATCCCTGCTATAAGTGAGATACCAACTCCAGGCCCAGCCTCACTCGACCCTAGGCCTGACTCCAGACCATCTTACATCCTTCTGAACGGAGGCCCTGCTTACCGATCAGGTTTAGCTGGTCCCACAAAGTTTACCCCAGAATCTCCCTACCGCACAATAACGCCACCCTCAGCTTCTACCTGGACCAAAAACCAGATATTCTCCCCAAAAGTGAAGCCCAAATCCCCTCTTATAGTGAAATGTTTGAACAATGAGTTGAAGTACAGTCCATGTGTGCTCGATCAGGAGTCTTATATAAACCGACTGAGTAATATTGAGTTCACACCAACCCTGGGAAGGGTGGTTGATAACAGCTACAACACCATTTGTGAATATTCGGATATAGAGCATCCTTGTTGTCCACCTAAACGAGAGAATAAAAACCCTGAAAGCAATAAAATTCTCGACCAAAGCTGTAACCAATTATCAGATCCGGAGAACATTGCTGATGGTGAGGGTGAGGGTGAGGGTGACTTCCCATCCCCCGCCACTGCAGTCATCACGGATACAACTTCCAGTTTCTCGGTTCTCAGTACCCCATTCTCATACGACGAATACCAGCCCAACTTTACAGATGAGCCTAGTCGATATTTGACAGGGTTGGAGGTCGACTACGGTTACCCTGGTGATGATGGTTATCTTAATCTCCGAGACTTGCTAGCTCCTCGAGACCTGGTGCTGTCAGGACAGGGAGAAGAGTTAGAGGTCAGGCTGGATGACTTTATACAGACTCCAGGAGCCAACACGCTCTGTTCGCCCTCTCAAGTAACAGTGTTTCCTGCGAACAAAGCCTCTGTGAGAAGCTCAGGGAACGGTGTCATATCCATGGCTAGACCCAGATCTTTGAGTATTAAAACTCTGGAATCTTATTTCAGACATGTTCAACCATTCAGATTCTCTAGTTCAAGGAACTCCTCCATAAAAGTTAACGTAGATTCATCGTACTCTCCGAAACAGCCAAAGTCAAAACAACTATTCTCCCCTGTAGACTCAGTCTTAAGTTTCTTCTGTCGGTCCAGCCCCAAAGTCTTCTCTCCAATTCTGTCGACTTCACCGTCTACTACCAAGCCTCCCCCAGGTACCTTACCTTCCCCTAAAGTATACCCTGAAAATATAAACTACCGTGCTATCCCTCTAAAACAAAACCAACTTCTTACCAGTCTCATTGAACACGACGTTAACCATAACAATGTCAGAAAAACGGGAAAATTCGCGAAATGCAAGAAAATACTCTCCCCTTTCCTCGTATCCCCCGTTAAATCGCCCTTCAAAATATTTTCAAGAAATGCTTCTCCCAAAAATACAACCTCTGACGAATACAATCCTTTAAAGGTTGGCAAGGATGGAATGAGCCGACCTGATATTCATTCAAACGGACCCACTTACCAGTCCAGTCCCTACCCATTGGATAATCATGTGTACTCAAATATAACCACAACAAACCAGCGCAACCGTCCTCCCTTATTGAACGGACACACACCGGGGCTTGATCCGAGTAGAGTGATAAACGTAGATCCCTCCTACATCCGTACCCCCACCATGGTAGCTTCTAACCAGGCAGGTAGAGAACTCTACCAGGTCAGTCTCCAGGACCGACAGTTGTCTCCAGAGGATCGGCAGCTACACAAGCTGAGTATTCTTGATGAGGGACTGTTCTGGGAGGGGTTCGACGGACCACGAGGGACCCCTGAGGGGGATGAGGTTTTGAAGGTTATCAGTAACTGTGAACCAACTGATATTTTGTTGCCTACTTTGTTGAAGGACAACGTGGTTAAAGTGGAGAGACGGCTTCTTTTTTACTTCAAGCAGTTGAAAAACGTGAAGTACTGCTATGATATTGTTGAGAAGGTGTGTCTGTCTGTCTGTCTGTCTGTCTGTCTGTCTGTCTGTCTGTCTGTCTGTCTGTCTGTCTGTCTGTCTGTCTGTCTGTCTGTCTGTCTGTCTGTCTGTCTGTCTGTCTGTCTGTCTGTCTGTCTGTCTGTCTGTCTGTCTGTCTGTTCATTCTGTTCATTCTGTTCATTCTGATTAATTTGAATTCCATATTTAATCTAAGTTACCATGGTTTAAAACTCCCCTCCCTCAGATTGCGATACAAGATGCTCATGGCATCACCCTTTTAGTACAGCTACTCAACACCACGGAGAGCTTTGAGATTCAGGAGCTGGTTACTGGTGTCTTCTGGAACCTTAGCTCTAGTGATACTCTCAAAATACCTATTCTCAAACAAGCACTCGAACCTCTTGTTAAGGTACTGATTATATGTTTTATTTGTAGATTGATTAATATCTAGATTTATTTTACTTTGATTGTTTATGAAGCTGTTAGAGAGTTTTCCTCCCTGATCTGCACATTCTACCGTTATGTAATAAGAACTTTTTAAATAGTATGAACCTAGATTTTAGCTTCTTAAAGCAAATATTACGTGTTATTCACCAACATTTTAAACATCTTTCACGGCAACCACTTTCCATCGCATGCATGTTAACTGAAATTGTTTTATATTTATCTCAGTACGATTTCAAAATAAATATCTCTGTAATGATAAAATTTTGCTTCCAAATATTTCTGATAGACACATTGACACAATTCCTGAAAATATTTGCGTAAATAAAGCGTTGAAAAGTATCCGTCTCACATCCCCGAGCTTTTTTACTTTAGTCTACAATTTTCTTTTAGACTAATGTAACGGTTCATGCTCGGTAATTTACCGTTGCATACTGACGTAGTATTTACGTACTCATTTTCAGAACATTAATACACGAATCCGTCTATCAGTTCAAAATGTTTTGAAATATTTTGAAATATACTGTTATCCTTACATATTTTCATTTAGTGCTCTTAACGACAAAAACAGACATACAGTACCAGCCATTATATAATATATTAAAATGAAGCAATTAAATAAATATAAGAATATAGGGCATACAAGACTACATTTTGAGAGGAGCTCAAAATCAAAATCTATCAAATAAGACAAACAGTTAAATATTGTTATAAATTGTATTCGTATTAGTCTATATTAGTCTATATTAGTCTATATTAGTCTAACCAAGTTCACCCTCAGAACATAATAATACCGCTGTCCGGTTGGAAGGAAACTCAAGGTATCCCATTTGACCAGATAGGCTACAACCCAAACATCAGCTGGACAACCGTGTTTAGAAACGCTACAGGCTGCTTGAAGTTAGTTTAAATACTTTATAATTTAACTTTATAATTACAAATACTTTATGGTTGTATAAAATTTGGATACCATTTTCAGCTCTTAGAGTAAATACTTTGTCATTATTTACAACTATTTCAACAAATCAAGAATAACAATGTACATTACACTATTGTAGGACGCCCTATAACTTCCCGTCAAACTTGACAATAATCATCTAATTAATTAGCCAACTAAATGTGGTATAATTAATCAGGAACCTGTCGTCAGCGGGTCTTGAAGGGCGAACCCTCCTTCGTCTCTGCCACGGACTAGTAGATAGCCTCCTCTGGACGGTCAGGTCAGCACAAGGCAAGAACGACGTAGATAACAAAGCAGTGGAGAACGCGGTGTGTATCTTGAGGAATCTGTCCTACAGATTGGAGGCGGAAGTGGCTCCGGAGGTGAAGTACGGAGCGGGGGATGACTGGAGGTCACGTGGTTTGGGAGGAGGCCAGTTCAGGAGGAAGACTCCGGAAGAGGGGAAGAAGAAGAAGAAGGGCAAGGGAAGAGAGGTAAGGAGATGGAATTTCACTGTAGCTTGTGGATCCTGTGCTTTGTTTAGTTATACTCGGCGTTAGTGTATACGTTATTGGTGATACTCTTAACTATGACCGATAAAAACCATAACTTTGAAACATTTTGAACGTTTAATATGAATCCCACCGACTACTTTTAAGGCTAATAACTGGATGTTGCAGGTAAATGTAACGCCACTACCTGACCACACCGCTGGGGTGGGGTTACTATGGCAATCAGGTGTGGTTAGAGTGTATCTGGATCTGTTGTTGGAATGCAGTAACCCTGAGACTCTGGAGGGGGCTGCTGGAGCGTTACAGAACCTCACTGCTTGCTCCTGGGAACCTGCTCAGGTATTTTATATAGTTTATTGTTAAAATTCCTTAAAATTTGCTGAGTCACACTATTTAAAATAATTAAAATAACATTCACATTTTTTTCTTAAAAAGCAGACAATTAGCATTTAATGAACAAGTTCCTCTCTCCAGGCAATAAGAGAGACAGTTAGAAAAGAGAAAGGATTGTCTGTTATAACGAGTCTACTTAGACTCCCCAACGACCTGGTGGTCAGAGCCACTGCTTTTTGTCTCCGGAACCTGGCTATTGATCATAAGAACAAGGAACTGCTAGGTTTGTAAACTTTCTACCCTGTTATTAACTCTCTTATTTATTATTACTAAATATAACGGTCAATATTGAGGTTATGTCATTAAATGCAGGCATACTTGAAGATGTTTCTTATTATTTGTTGTTTAAAGCAAATCAGTAAGCCCGTGTGGAACTACATCACTGCTCAAAACTTTGGACTTTCGTCCTCGACTAATGTGTATTCTGTTATCTTAATTAAGAAACGAGGGGTAATGGACAATTATAGCGTGCCTAATTCAGAGATGATTATATTAGCCCCTTTATAATATGAACCTGAATTCAGAGTATAAAGATAACAGTCCTGGGCGACGGTCGACTCATGACTGTACCTCAAATATCCATGTTTATCACAAAGAAGCAAGTTCATGCGTAGAAAATCCAGGGAATTCGTTTAAAATATAATTGTCTTTTCCTAGTGAGTGATCTGTAATGTCGATAACACTTTTATCTTGATTGACATGATTTACAACGCACGTAATATTAATTTTAGTCTGAAAAGTGAAAATTTAACCGAGACTGTGCCCCAGCTGATTTTGGTTCATGCCTTGACTGCTCCTGGATCCCAGCTGTGTATTGAAAAATTACTAAATTACTTAGTAAACGTGAATTTTAAAATACGTGAAAAAACGTGGTTTAAATGTAAGAACAGGTCTAACATGGCGAGCAGCAGAGTAACCGGCGTTATGCACTGTACCGGACTTATATATATAATATAGATTAGTAAGTTAACTCAACTTCAAAGCTTGCTGTAGGATTACGCCCAAGTTAAAATAAGTGCCTCTAAATGAAATTGAGTTACTAATATCTTGATGAAGGCCTAGTGGGCTTCAGGAAAAATACTTCTTACATCGTGCAGATATTCTACAGCTTTTAGCGCATATATGACTATACTATAATCATAAACCACTGAGCTAAATCTTTCGAATTTTAAATACTTAGTGACGATTCCAGTACCACTTCATAATTACTACTTTAACATACTAATACTATACTACTATTATTATAGAGCTATAGTATAAATAGGTAAATGTTAAGCTACTCTTTATCTCAAGATTCAATTCCGTACTTTTATTCAGTTAGTCCAAATCCTTTACAAATATCTTACTCAGGCAATATATATTTTATTATCGTATTTAAAGTCCGGTACAGTGCATAACGCCGGTTACTCTGCTGCTCGCCATGCTAGACCCGTTCTTAAATTTAAACCAATAAAAAGTGTCAAAATATAAACAAGTTGACAGTAACCATTGATCACATCGGTTACAGAGCTGTATGCTAATACTTTCACGTTTTTTCATGTATGTTATTTTACCAAAACCCATAATCATGGGTAGAGTGGACCGCTGTCAGTGTCTCTCTTTCCCAAACAAAAGGAAATGATATTACTTTGATTGACCGTTCTCAAATGCAAAATGATACCGAGAATGAAATCGGTCGCTCGCTTTTCCCATTCATTCACGGCTTACGAATTGTAATAAGTTTCGATTGATTACATCAATCAGATGCTGTAAAAATCTCTTTGGGTTGCGTTCGGGTCGATACCTAGTATTTCGGGGTAAGGGTGGTAGTTATTAGTATTACTTATTGAATTAGCTGAAGTTTATTGAATCTTCATTGCCGAGTACAGCTGCCTTTGGGTAGTTCTTCTTAATCTATTACAATTGTAAATGAATGGGAAAAGCGAGCGACCGATTTCATTCTCGGTATCATTTTGCATTTGAGAACGGTCAATCAAAGTAATATCATTTCCTTTTGTTTGGGAAAGAGAGACACTGACAGCGGTCCACTCTACCCATGATTATGGGTTTTGGTAAAATATCATCTCTTTTTGATTATAATGTCAGGGTACTTTATAAAGTCGAAATATAAACTGATATCTTCATTAATAAGGAGGAAGTTTCAACAATTTCGAAATTTTTCCTTTAAAAACATTTCCTTGTGTTTAGGGAAGCATATCGGTCGATCACTGACTGAATATGCCACTTAATACTCATTCAAGTTGGCATTAAATTCATATATAATGACATTAAACTGTCGTGGCAAAGCAGAATTTGTTGGAAATCACGAATGAGCAAAATTCTCACCTTTCGCACGTGCAAACTTTGAGCAGACGTTGCGTGCGCATCCAATATTGAATCGCCGTAAATTTTTGCATGTAATTGTTTTATATATAGCTTGATAAGCATGCAAAGTTTCAAAGTATTTCAAGAAGAACTGTAATCACAACGGCACTCTAAAGTTGACAGAAAATGACGAAAACAGCAATTTTCAGTGATTTTAGCGATTTTCTATCAATTTGGGCGTGTCCCAACGTGTGCAACTTTTCGATTTTCAACTTTAAAACTAGCCTATGACACAATTTATACCTATAGGAAGCAGAACTGAGCTCCACAACCCAAGGCATGGCCCAACACCAGAGAATACTAAATCGCAAAATTGACGTTTTTATAAAATAATACTTCAAAAAAGCACAAACTTCAATGACGAATATCTTTATGAAGGAGCAAGCTAGAAAAACTTTCCGGTAGATTTTCAGAATGCTTGAACAATTATCTAAGGTAAAAATTCTTCAGATTTTGAATAAAATTACTCCTTAATGGTTTAAAATTAATTTTAAAAGTTATTACTTTGTCAAAAAACAAGTTTTAAAAACGGTTAACTTGATGACGTCATCAAGGGGTGTTTATGACGTCATATAATTTTTTTATACAATGTAAACTAAAGTATAAACAATTATTTTCAAGACCTGTGGTCGGAAATGGCTGTATCTTTTATACTTTTGAATCTATGGACAAATAAATACAGGCTACAATTGACTGGCAAAGCGTCTATCCCTGAATATATATATGTATATATGTATATATGTATCACGACAATCTATCGTAAAACAGGGGTTCTAGAAAACCCACTTCCCGATGCTCCTGAAACCTGAAACTTTTTTTGCAGTCGATTTGTTCAACGTCTAGACGCCCTGAAAAATTTCAGATTTCTAACTCAATTTTAACATGGTTTTTAAGGCACCTGAATATGGCGATTTTGGGTTTTTTACCGAATTTCGTATAACAGTGCTGGCGAGTATTTTATGCAAATTTCTTTAAAATCTCAACATAACTATTTTTATTCCTGTCATCTTTGACTTCAAATTAGAATGTTTTGAACTAAAAATAAATCTGCTGAACGACTTCCGATGAGTCTTAATGCCTGAAAAACTCCTGCCGGAGGCGGCGGCCTTGGGCCGCCGCCTCCGGCCGGAGTGCACGCTTCGCGTGCACGAAAGAGGCTTCCGACGAGTACCAAAGGGGGTATAATAGTAAAGGGGGTACAATAGTAAAGGGGGTACATAGTATACCCCCAATAAAGACACCGCTCGTGCTTGCCAGCACTGTGATAATTCATGTTTACTACGTATTTAAGTAATTTGTCAATACACAGTTGGGGATCCAGGAGCAGTCAGGGCATGAACCAAAAATCAGCTGGGGCACAGTCTCGGTTAAGTTTTCACTTTTCAGACTAAAATTAATATTACGTGCGTCAATCCAGATAACAGTGTTATCGACATTACAGATCACTCACTAGGGGGTCACTAGGAAAAGACAATTATATTTTAAACGAATTCCCTGGATTTTCTATGCATGAACTTGCTTCTTTGTGATAAACATGGATATTTGAGGTACAGTCATGAGTCGACCGTCGCCCAGGACTGTTATCTTTATACTCTGAATTCAGGTTCATATTATAAAGGGGCTAATATAATCATCTCTGAATTTGGCACGCTATAATTGTCCATTACCCCTCGTTTCTTAATTAAGATAATAGAATACACATTAGCCGAGGACGAAAGTCCCAAGTTTTGAGCAGTAATCCACACGGGCTTACTGATTTGCTTTAAACAACAAATAATAAGAAACATCGTTAAGCATGCCTGCATTTAATGACATAACCTCAACATTGACCAGGATATTGAGTAATAAAACATTCAATTGAACAAACTAGTGACCAATTATTAACAACCCAATCACTCCTTAAAACGCCATCTCACCAGGTAAACACGCGACGTTGGATCTGGTAAAACGACTGCCGGGAGGGGACGGTATGGACGGTATCACGGATATAACCATTACCGGGGTTGTATCGGCTGTCTCCGAGATAGTGGCAGACAGCCAAGACAATGCTCGTATTTTCAGAGATTATGATGGTAAGTAGAGATTATTGATATTTTATAGGCGGGGTAATTGGTAAAGTGTGGGCTGTAGAGGCATTAATTAGTTATTTAATTATCTACTAATTAGTTATTTATGACCGTGCCAGTCTGGTCTAAGTGTTGCTGGCATAAACAGTCCTTACATGGTGGTTATGGAAGGGGCTCGAGAGATTCAATTAATGAAGGATTGTATAGAAAATCCGATTCTCCTTTACAACAATTAAAAGTTCTACATCATGATAATAGAATGTTGGAATACTATGATAACGTTCATTGCAAATATCAAACATTCGATTAACAATTCAAACATTTAATTAACAAATCAAACATATTTTATGGACATAATATCGAACGTTCAATAAACATAATATGAAACACTTAATAACAGATGTCCATGTTTCAGGAGTGGGAAGGCTAATGATAATAGCTCGCTCACAAGATATCTACAACCGACAGTGTGTTTTCACCTCCAACAAGATCCTAGCTGCACTTTGGGAAGTTAAAGATATCAAGAGACAGCTCAAATCAATGGTACGTAACTGAAAAAAATAAATTTAAAATATTTTTTAAATGGTACTTTACTAAAAAACTATATATTTAAAATTTGTTTTAAATGGTACGTTACTATCTCTGAAGCTGCGAACAATTTTCATCAGAAATCTGGATTTTGGGATCAAGGAAAATGCCACCATTTTTTGTAAGACTCGTATGAGAAAAACAAATTGCAAAGCTTGACTAGTATGTTGCATGATAAAATAACAAATTGCAAAGCTTGACTAGTATGTTACTTTGTTTACTTTGGAGGTTTTAACCTACATGCATCACGTGATCTACTCCATATTCACTACTTACTTATCAACTAAGTTTAAGTAACTAAGTCACCCCTTTACCTCAGGGCTGGAATATCTCGTTCTACACGCGTTTACAGACCCTGGATAGATCTAACGATGGAATGGCAGGAATGGAGTACGATGAAACCAGGAACCAGTTCCGTATCTCCGGTTCTGATAAACCTGCTCTTCCTGACCACTGTGTTAAGAGTCCCGACCCTACCTTCGACTCTCATACTATGGGTAAGTTTTGTTGATTTGTGGTTGGTATTATCCGTCTAGTCAGTCAAATAAGGAATCTGATTCTGGCCAATCAGCATGCTCATCGATATTCTGTTATTTCTCGATTTATCACTTATCACTAATCTGTAACTGTATCAAATAATCTGAATCTATATTTTATCAGATCGATTTGGAAATGGCGCCTTTCGAAATTAGATTATAGTGCCCGTTATCATTTTGATTTAGTTTAATGTCAGGAGATAAAATAGAAAATATTCTGATCTCATCTTCCCGTCAGGTCGTAACCACGGAACACCAGATATGTTATCTCCCGCCCTCACAACAATTACATCCTCGCCTAGCAACCACGTGACGTCACCCAATAGTCACGTGCCGTCACTACATCAATACCAAATGACGTCATCACAACGTCACGTGTCGTCATCGCCCGCCCACAGTGCCGAGTACGAATCACCACTTCAGAATAGGTCCTCAACGTTAGGACGAAACAATAACTCTGTTCTCCCGCACAAGTCATATCAGGTTTGAAAAATCTACCTTATTTTCATTGTTGCCATTTGCAAAGTCTGATGGTCAGTACTTAGTGTTGATATTTTGTATCATTTATTCTTATGATTCAAATACCTCACCCTTCGAACATCTGTTACCTAAATCTAAAATAAGCAATACAAAAACAGAAATGTCTGCCTTTTCAAAACTCTGTTTATATAATTTAAATTTAATACCAAGACCTTAATTATTCACGTGGTTAACCCTATTCCTGAACCACCACCAGCAGGAGCCACCTGAGCTACCCCAAAGAGGACACAGTACCTTACCGAGCAGAAACTATCAGAGTAACCGATACACTGTCGCTGATTCTTGGGTGTGATGGTGATACTGATAGTGAAACTGATCCCTTAGTTTCTCTTTCGTTTTCCGAGTGAACTTTATCTTTTTTGTACATGTTTTTCGGAGTGGAGACTACAGTTCAGTTTTTATTCAGCAACAAACTCAGTTAGTTCAGCTTTGGACTGTGTATTGGAAAAAGTTACCAAAAATATACGTGGCAGCTCCCAGCGAATTCAACGAAAATCAACGAAAACATTTTTGGGTGTTACAATGTCGCGGAGTTAAGCATCTTGCGATATCTGACGAATGACGATCTATCTTACACCGACTTGGTGATAAATAATGAAATTGTTTGTTTTACTCTATGCTAGGATACGTGCAGGATTAAAATCACCTTTAGAATTACTATATTACATTTCTAGATAGTTAGTTAGTTTGTGAATTTTGTTTTTTGACGCCATTCAGTTTTAGGCTACATTCTTTAAGTTTAGGTATAGTTTTTTGTTAAATAGAAGAACATGTAATACGACAATTTATAAGGTGGTAGTCGTAGAATTGATTGATCACTTATTATTTATTTTTCTATTTTTGGTTGCTAATTTATAATGAGAATGTATTTGATCGATGAATAAACTTGTTTGAAATTGCTATATTTCGAAACTTTAACTTTGAGAACATACATTTATTTATTAAGTTTATCGTGCCACACACAGTGAAGAGTCCGTGAAGGCTATTATTATTATTGTCGCAAAAAACTATATTAGACAATCTGAGCCTACAGTTCTGGTTCGTAGCCAGTTAAGTTCAAAATTAATTTTGAAAAATTGGAACTAAGTTCAATATATTAAAAAATAAATGTCACCACCACATTGTAACGCGATGCGTTACTGTGCCGCGCCGCGCACTCAATGAGGCTTCTCACAGATCGGCGAGATGCGCTACTGTGCCGCGCCGAGCTGAGATGAATTGACATCGTCAATTAACCACCACACAGTTCATCAAGTATCTTGCTAACCTTGTACGCCATGATAATCGAATAGCTTAAAATAAATTTCAGGAGACGAACGGATCATTAGGTTATGGGTAAATTTCTGTGTAAATCAGAATGTGACACACACTTTGGTTTAGTGTGTCACACACAGTCCTTGAAGGCTATTATTATTATTATCGCTCGTCTAAAAAATTATCACGTGACTTCAGACTTGGGTTTTTACAGTTTTGCAGCCGAACAAGACAGTTTTAGTTAACATAAACTTTAACCTTAATCGTAGCCCCGAAGCTAACCATAACCCTTACCACAACCATAACCCGGGCCCTAAACAATCGAATTCGTATTTTACTAGCCTGTCACGTGACCTAAACGGTTTTTTGCCCATAACTCTCCGACTCCAGGGAAGTATTTTATAACCCTACTTCATGGCGGGTGATTCGGAATCAGCGTCCAAAAATACACCGATTTAGATCACTTTCATGCCCAAAGGGCCTTTTCACAAGAATTTTCTTAAAATTTGGGCGAGCGATATAGTTGTCATACGCTGTTTGACGGATGTTGCTATGTGCTAGTCTAAATTTCTTCGAAGTAGCGCGCGCCGCTTTCTTCTCGAAATGGCCGGGCCAGATCATTAACAATGGTCAAATACGTTACATGACCCGCCGCGCACGAGTGCGCGGCTCCCCTGCATGTATCGTCGAAACTCTACTACTATAGTGAAGCGACAGTTGGGGTCACCACGTGATACAATTACAAATACAACGATTTAGTAGGAGCAGAATTCAACTGCAAGGCGAAAATAATACCATAAGCCGCAAAAATAAACTGAAAATAGCAGCTTTCATTTTATTATATTAACAGGTGATACTTTTATTTGTAAAATATCTGTTCCAGGACCGTCGACGAGTCCAACTCGGCGCGCGTCCTGGTAGGTTATAAACCTACAATCATGAATCATTTTACTGATAGTGATATTAATGATCTCTACAGTGGTCATTGCAGTGATATCCCTTTTTCCAGTTTTGGAAAAATTTTCTGAATGGTTTAGTCTATGACCAGCATTTTTACGTTATTCAGAGTTATTACGGTAGGTCGAAGAACAGGATCCTTAAATGGGCTCTCATCGAAAATCTGGTAAGGACTATGTTTTTATCGGACTATGGAAATCTTGATGGCAAGATTGCACGAGTCGATTTCTATTATATGGCAATGACGGAGTTTGCCTTTTTAAGTACTTCGTGACCCGAGATGACCCTCAATGGTTGTTCACAATATCAGTCCTCACTATCAACATCGTCTGCTTTGTTATTGTCACTGTATCTTCATCAACATCTCCACCATAAAATCTTCCAGTTTACTTACAAAAGGTGAAGGTCCCACCGCTGACAAGGTTAACAAGAGAAACTTAAAGCTACAGCAGAAAGTGGCCACCATTATTATCACTGACTTTCTTTGTTGGGTTCCCTTTGTCTTGGTTTGCTTCCTGCACTTTTTTGAAGTGCTAAACGCTTCACCTCAATACGGACTCTTCTCGATCATCCTGCTGCCGATCAACTCTGTGATAAACCCGTTCTTGTACAACGAGATAATGATGCGACAAACGGATAAGGTGAGCCAGCTAGTAGGAAAGTCCTGTTGGGCTAAAACAGGGCAGATTAGATGAGCTGACTTTTTGATTACACGGATTGGGATATCACTAGATTTGCCATTTTCAAACTTGGAAATTATTTCCATGAGCTCAGTATGTGAACAACAGTCAGTTAGGAATATAGAGGCAGAGCTATTGTTGGATGGCAGGAGGTAGTCTTCAAATGTTGAAAATTCAGAAGCCTGTATAGGCAGGTCAGCTATTGATTCATTTAGAGTGGAGGCAATGAAGTTAAAGTATTTGTTGAACTCGTTTGCAATAACCCTTCTGTTGTGACAGCGATGTGAAAAGTTTGAAGAAAGTGGGACTTTTGAGTCTCGAGATATGCGCCTTTGTGACCCCCAAAATTGCCCCTTTGGATAAGGTTTCCTGTGTTTGCAAGAATATCTTGAGTTCGGCTTCTTAAAATTGGCCGAAAATTTCACCGATTATCCGTCTCCTGGCCATACAAATGTGTGAAAAGTTTGAGTAAACTGTAAAGCAATGTTTTACTCTTATGAAATGCATTAGAAACCACCCTACAACTAAAAGAGCCGTAAACGTGACAACTCCTACAAAAAAGGAGAAGAAACAGAAATAGAAATTCGGTTCTCTGGGTCACCGTCAAATAGCAACTACTGCTACGTTCGGCTTGTCTGATATTCTGTTGTTGAATTATAGCAGGAACGAGGATAATTGAAAGCCATCCTTGAAGTGAGGTCACAGTGAAAACAGAACTAGTTTGATGACTCTAGAAATGAAGTTAGGGACTGATTTCTCACTCTCATCTTTAACACTCTCCAGCTTACAGGATGTATCTGGAATTTCACCGAAGCAGTTGTGTAGCATAAATATGGGAGGTAAAGAGATTGGCAGTACAATGAGAAGGGTGAGTATCTTCCAACCCAGCAGCTCCAACAGCAGGTATCTCAGCACGGCCGACCAGATCCCACCAACTGTGCAACTGCAAACCACGGAGATTATCAGCATTGTGTCCTCCAGAACCTTCTTAAAAGAAATCAGTTGAGCGATCATCTCGCAATGCAGAGCGAAGTTCAGTCCAACACATGATTCATCTAGAACTTCCCACCAGGACATCAGATCTCTCTGTATTTATAAGTTAAAACCATGCGTCCGTAAGAAGGACAGTTAAACGTTTGGTTTACAATTTGTTTTGACAATGGTTTACTATTTGTTTAGACTAAACAACAATTAGTGAGCTGGCCACAGAGTTGAGAGTCTGATTTCGTATTTCATAGTCAATTCCTATATTGAGATTTTCATTTGTTTAATATTCTACCTGCGGCTACAACACATGTAACTTCTTGAATTCAGCCTAAAACATGACATCATAAGTGCAAACTCGCCTCTTAGCAAGTTATTATCATCATAAACTGCGAAAAATCGGTTAAATGGGTCATTAGCGACCCACTAGGACCACAAAATTGATTAATTAAATACAATGTTGCAAACTTTTACAAATATTAGTACAAAAACATATTATATCTTGGTCATTACTCCTGTACGTTGATTTAACTTCTTAAATCGATCAACTGGGTCAATAACGACACACTCGGAAGTTGAACCACTTCATTAATTATCACATATAATAATAAAACTTCACATCAGAGAATCATGTGTGAAAAGAAAGTAAAGTCTCCTGGATCAGATATTTCGTACGATGTTTGTGTTGTGGGTGCGGGAGCGTTTGGCTCGTGTACTGCATACCATCTCTCTAAATTCCCGAACTTGGATATCTGTCTAGTGGGACCTGGTTGGTAAATGTATAAATTTCATTTTCCTATATATAATAATTGATTGCGGCTGCCTCATTCAGATTTTTATATAAATAATTTATTTTAAATAACACAAAACAAATACTATTACTAGAGTATTAATACACTTACCCCTCCAATAGCTTTTTGGATTGTTTTAAAAAATTGAAAAAATCTCAACAATATACAGAACTGAAATGATCTGATGTAAAATTGCAGGAGAACCAGAAAAGAAGAGCAGGAAAGAAGCAGTGTTCGGGTGCCACTACGACGAAGGCAGGATAACACGAGTCATATCAGATGTTAAAACGTTCCAGCTGCTATCGTACCGCAGTACTCTCAAGTTCGCCCAGTTGGAAAGAGAGTCTGGGCTCAAGATTTTCTCCGAAGTAGGATACGGTATGGTGGGTGTTATAATCGGAAAGTTCGCTATCGAGGTGAAAAATGGTGACGAATTTTGCGAGAAGAATGGCATTGATTACGAGATTTTGGATGAAAAGACTGACAGCGAAAAATGGAGTTATTTTGTTCCCCCGAAAAACTTTACAGGAAGGTTGGTTGGGAAGCTGAGTGGATATCTGAGTATAAGGAACCTTATAAGAGCTGCTAAAGTAGTTGCTAGTAATACTGGGGTTCACTACAAAGAAATCGTAGCAACTAGTATTCACAAGATAGGTGACATGTTCCAGATAAAACTTGCTGATGACACGATAATCAACAGTAAAAAAATTGTCCTCGCATGTGGCTCCTTCATCAACTTTTTCGATTTCCCCCTTCAGAAACCTCTCCAACTGGAGTTGATGGGCCACTCTGTCATGAAGTTTGAAGTAAGTGAAGAGGATTACGAACTAACTAAAGATTTCCCGGCAATGAACTATCGATACGATCCAAAGAACGGAGATGTCTATCTCTTCATCCTACCTCCAATCCAATACCCAAACGGTAAATATTACATAAAACTAGGCCACACTGCGGACTACCCTGCGGAGGGGTTAGAACAGAGTTTGGGGACGCTGGAGGAGGTTAAAGATTGGTACTGTATGGAGGATTATACTCCCGCTAGGGATCACTTCACTAAATATTTCAAACAGATGTTCCCCTCAATAGTTCCCGTCTCAGTGCAGTTAGACCACTGTGTCATATCACTCACTAAAACGGGCAGACAGTATATTGGGTTTGATTCTGAAAATGTTCTGGTGGCGGCTGGCGGCAATGGGGCTTCAGCAAAAATGGGACTTGAGATTGGGAACATTTGTGCCAATAGCATTGTGAAGGGGGAGTGGGATTACGATTTAGATGAAATCGATTTTAGAATTGTTTATAAAAAGTAAATTTGTTTGAAACTGGAATTGTCTAATTATCACTGTCCATTTATTTATAATAGTGTATTAGCTGAACTGTTTGATAATCAGTTTAGGAAACAATCCAACGTATTTTTTCTACGGTCCAAAATCCAACTAAAATTAAATCACTCACCTAGGAATCTTAATTTTTTTACAGAAGGGCCCTGAGCATATGAAAGTAGCATCATTAGATGTATTCTCGATGTTGATTCCAAAACAACTCAAAAACATGATTACAATTATCAATATTACAAAAAAATTGTTTATTGTGACAAAATTTACATTAGACTAAAATCCACTAAAATTAAAATAGCTGCGTTGTTTCAACACCAACTAGGAAGCGAAAAAGCTGAACATTAGGTGGCTCATGTCCGCCATCGTTTTTTAATCGATTCGAAAAAAACGATGGCGGACATGAGCCATGGCTCATGTCCGCCATCGTTTTTTTCCCCGATTTTTTCCGATTTAATGAGTTAAAAAGTTCCAACAAAATCTTTTAACATATAATTGGTAAAACATTTTCGGACATCTTCAATACCTAATAAGGATAAGGGTTAATACTCCAATTAAATCAGAAAATTATAATTAAAACTAAGGGATTTTAGATAAATAAAAGTCAAACTCTCAAAAAAGGAAATGGAAAGCACTCGGGTATGGGGGGTTGTGAGGCCCCGACTAGTAGAAAATATACTAGTTCATGAAATAATTTAAGGACCATTAGGCATCATGAAAAGTTTTATTTTTAAATAAAAGTGGCATACCAAAAGGATCACATGAATTAATACCATACGGTTTCAAAGTTCTGAGTTTTTGTATAAGTAGATTTTCGTTAACTTCTAAATTACTAGGACTAGAATTCTTAAGGATAAAAACATTATAAGAAGCATCAAAATCAGGTCTATTAGAAAGGTTATGCGAGTCTATAAAGTGAGCTGCTAAACTATAAGTGTCACTATCATCAGATAAAAAGTCATCACTAAGTTTAAAGGAAGGGTTTTCTAATAATTTATAACAGTAAGCTCTATGTTCGGTTACTCTTTCGTGCAAAGTCCTAACGGTACGTCCAACATAGCAGAAAGGATACGGACATAATTTACGATTGAATATATAAACTATGTTGTAGCTAGAACAGGTCCCTGGAGCTTGTCTTATCTTGACTCCATTAATACAATAAGATTTTTCACTTCCTATCATTGCACAACACTTACAATTTTTTTGATGGCAAGGTTCTGTTTTTGTTAAAGTGTTATTCTCTGCATGTAATTGTGAGTTGAGGAGTCTTCTCCGCAAAGTAGATGAGCCTGATCTTTTAACATAACAGAATAGTCTTTTGCCGGTGTTTCTTTCCTTGCTGGAGGTCTCCGTGTGCTTGTCGTGTCGGTGTTGGAGGTAGACGACAAACTCGGAGATATCTTTATGGTGGACTCAAACTTTTCAATTATGCCTATCAATGCCACGTCACCTCCAAAGGAGGAGATAACACGTATTGTGTTATCAGGGGACACAGGGAGCAATATAGAACTGTTCGAGGTGTCCCTGCAGGTGGGGAGCCTGCGTTCAAATGTTTTCACCTTCGAAGAGATGTTATTGATCATCTTTATAGGATAGTTTGAGTTCGAAAAGCACTCTTTCAGCTCGTCGATTCTTAGGACCAACCTATCATTGTCATTAATGATACGGCGGAGACGGAGACATTGGGAATAGATGATGCTGCTCACTGCTGTAGTTATGGTTAGGGTTGGTGAATCCAAAGTATAGATAAGACCTAGAATCAGTTTCCTTTACATACAGGTCAGTCTGGAGGTTACCATCAACGTCAAATGCAAATTGTATGTCGAGGAAACAAGTAAATCCTCCAGAATCGTCTATGCTGAACTCATCTATATTAAGACCTACATTAGTATTACTGAGTCTCGAGTTGACATTAGAGATAAATTCTGAAAACTGTCTTTTTGTTCCATCAAAAAAACCTGCTCCATCGTCTATCATGTATTATTATCTCTTTACTGTTGGCACGTTTTTCATCAAGTGTTCATCAGAATATACTACTTTTCTCCTGTAATAGTAAACTGCTATATTCGCAATTTGTATTTTGTACACAGAGGCTTCCTCCTGTTGGTATTCCGACTAGTTGTTGGTACCAATCACCTTCAAATTGGCCAATAGAAGCTCTGAAGCTGAGGTCCACGAGGGCAAGGATCCATTGTTTGAACTCCTCACTCCATTCCGTTCGATATTCAGTCATAGTAACAGTTAGGGCTTCCATTGCCAAATCGGATTTAAGAGAATCAAGACCTTGTAGTCAAAAGCGAAGCTTCTGAGCTAGCGTTCAGTATTGAATGAACTGTTGATGCCGTCTAACCAGCTAAGTGCACCTCAAAAGTCGATAAGTAGATCCCCACAAAATTGTACGCGTGTAAATTATCATGTGAAAAATCATATGACTCGACCGTACTTTGGGCTTGAGCCAGCTCGTTTAACGATTTTCAAACGGCCAATACCAGCTATGCCTATACCACGTGTCTATACCACTTGCCTGACATTCGTTGGTCACGAGTGACGAAAATCGTACGTGGAGCAGGCTCAAAGGAATGGTTAGGGTTAGGGTTAGGGTTGAAGTTGAAACCAAAACAAAATATAGCCAGAAGCAGAATGAAATAGAGTTAAGGTCAATTCGGTATGATAAAGTTCTTACTACTTCGGGCACAATAAGAGTTAGGGTAAGGGTTACAGTTAGGGTAAGGATTCAAAACGTATTATATCTGGTATCCTCTTAAAGTACTTCTTAATACAAATCTCTAGCCGTTGACTGCATCAAAAAACATGTTTCCTATCAAATGTTACAGCCGGTTGAAAATTGCAGTGTCATTTTAATAGATAGAAATCCCCTTAATATAAACTTTCTTGGTAAATTGACTAATCCACAATCATCTTCAAATTTAGTGTCATCTGATAGAACTCCTTCGTCCGATCGTAATGTCGTTGACTAAAGTGAAAAATACCATTCCGATCATAAGATATGACCATTTTAAGATCAAGGTAATGGTAGAGAGGATTCCGTAACAATGTAGGACATTACTTTGGAAGGTCCTACACGTAGTATAAATTCCTAAAAAAGGGCTATAATCACGTGATAAACCACAAAGACAGGCCTTCCAAAGTAACACAAAACCTTCCAAAGTAACACAAAACCTTCCAAAGTAACACAAAACCTTCCAAAGTAACACAGAAACCTTCCAAAGTAACACAGAAACCTTCCAAAGTAACACAAAACCTTCCAAAGTAACACAAAACCTTCCGAAGTAACACAGAAACCTTCCAAAGTAACACAAAACCTTCCAAAGTAACACAAAACCTTCCGAAGTAACACAAAACCTTCCGAAGTAACACAGAAACCTTCCAAAGTAACACAAAACCTTCCAAAGTAACACAAAACCTTCCGAAGTAACACAAAACCTTCCGAAGTAACAGAGAAACCTTCCGAAGTAACACAGAAACCTTCCGAAGTAACACAGAAACCTTCCAAAGTAACAATAAACCTTCCGAAGTAACAATAAACCTTCCGAAGTAACAATAAAACTTCCGAAGTTACACAGAAACCTTCCGAAGTAACACAGAAACCTTCCAAAGTAACAATAAACCTTCCGAAGTAACACAGAAACCTTCCGAAGTAACACAGAAACCTTCCGAAGTAACACAGAAACCTTCCGAAGTAACACAGAAACCTTCCGAAGTAACAATAAACCTTTTGAAGTAACAATAAACCTTTTGAAATAACAATAAACCTTCCGAAGTAACAATAAACCTTCCGAAGTAACACAGAAACCTTCCGAAGTAACACAGAAACCTTCCGAAGTAACACAGAAACCTTCCGAAGTAACACAAAAACCTTCCGAAGTAACACAGAAACCTTCCAAAGTAACAATAAACCTTCCGAAGTAACACAGAAACCTTCCGAAGTAACACAGAAACCTTCCGAAGTAACAATAAACCTTTTGAAGTAACAATAAACCTTTTGAAGTAACAATAAACCTTCCGAAGTAACAATAAACCTTCCGAAGTAACACAGAAACCTTCCGAAGTAACACAGAAACCTTCCGAAGTAACACAGAAACCTTCCGAAGTAACACAGAAACCTTCCGAAGTAACAGAGAAACCTTCCGAAGTAACACAGAAACCTTCCGAAGTAACACAGAAACCTTCCAAAGTAACAATAAACCTTCCGAAGTAACAATAAACCTTCCGAAGTAACAATAAAACTTCCGAAGTTACACAGAAACCTTCCAAAGTAACAATAAACCTTCCGAAGTAACACAGAAACCTTCCGAAGTAACACAGAAACCTTCCGAAGTAACAATAAACCTTTTGAAGTAACAATAAACCTTCCGAAGAAATACAAAAACCTTCCGAAGTAACACAGAAACCTTCCGAAGTAACAATAAACCTTTTGAAGTAACACAGAAACCTTCCAAAGTAACACAAAACCTTCCGAAGTAACACAAAACCTTCCGAAGTAACACAGAAACCTTCCGAAGTAACACAGAAACCTTCCGAAGTAACACAGAAACCTTCCAAAGTAACAATAAACCTTCCGAAGTAACAATAAACCTTCCGAAGTAACAATAAAACTTCCGAAGTTACACAGAAACCTTCCGAAGTAACACAGAAACCTTCCAAAGTAACAATAAACCTTCCGAAGTAACACAGAAACCTTCCGAAGTAACACAGAAACCTTCCGAAGTAACACAGAAACCTTCCGAAGTAACACAGAAACCTTCCGAAGTAACAATAAACCTTTTGAAGTAACAATAAACCTTTTGAAATAACAATAAACCTTCCGAAGTAACAATAAACCTTCCGAAGTAACAATAAAACTTCCGAAGTTACACAGAAACCTTCCGAAGTAACACAGAAACCTTCCGAAGTAACACAAAAACCTTCCGAAGTAACACAGAAACCTTCCAAAGTAACAATAAACCTTCCGAAGTAACACAGAAACCTTCCGAAGTAACACAGAAACCTTCCGAAGTAACAATAAACCTTTTGAAGTAACAATAAACCTTTTGAAGTAACAATAAACCTTCCGAAGTAACAATAAACCTTCCGAAGTAACACAGAAACCTTCCGAAGTAACACAGAAACCTTCCGAAGTAACACAGAAACCTTCCGAAGTAACACAGAAACCTTCCGAAGTAACACAGAAACCTTCCGAAGTAACACAGAAACCTTCCGAAGTAACAATAAACCTTTTGAAGTAACAATAAACCTTCCGAAGTAACAATAAACCTTCCGAAGTAACAATAAACCTTCCGAAGTAACACAGAAACCTTCCGAAGTAACAATAAACCTTTTGAAGTAACAATAAACCTTCCGAAGAAATACAAAAACCTTCCGAAGTAACACAGAAACCTTCCGAAGTAACACAGAAACCTTCCGAAGTAACAATAAACCTTTTGAAGTAACAATAAACCTTCCGAAGAAATACAAAAACCTTCCGAAGTAACACAGAAACCTTTTGAAGTAACAATAAACCTTCCGAAGAAATACAAAAACCTTCCGAAGTAACACAGAAACCTTCCGAAGTAACAATAAACCTTTTGAAGTAACAATAAACCTTCCGAAGAAATACAAAAACCTTCCGAAGTAACACAGAAACCTTCCGAAGTAACAATAAACCTTTTGAAGTAACAATAAACCTTCCGAAGAAATACAAAAACCTTCCGAAGTAACACAGAAACCTTTTGAAGTAACAATAAACCTTCCGAAGAAATACAAAAACCTTCCGAAGTAACACAGAAACCTTCCGAAGTAACAATAAACCTTTTGAAGTAACAATAAACCTTCCGAAGAAATACAAAAACCTTCCGAAGTAACACAGAAACCTTCCGAAGTAACAATAAACCTTTTGAAGTAACAATAAACCTTTTGAAGTAACACAGAAACCTTCCGAAGTAACACAAAACCTTCCGAAGTAACAATAAACCTTTTGAAGTAACACAGAAACCTTCCGAAGTAACACAAAACCTTCCGAAGTAACAATAAACCTTTTGAAGTAACAATAAACCTTCCGAAGAAATACAAAGACCTTCCGAAGTAACACAGAAACCTTCCGAAGTAACAATAAACCTTTTGAAGTAACAATAAACCTTCCGAAGAAATACAAAAACCTTCCGAAGTAACACAGAAACCTTTTGAAGTAACAATAAACCTTCCGAAGAAATACAAAAACCTTCCGAAGTAACACAGAAACCTTCCGAAGTAACAATAAACCTTTTGAAGTAACAATAAACCTTCCGAAGAAATACAAAAACCTTCCGAAGTAACACAGAAACCTTCCGAAGTAACAATAAACCTTTTGAAGTAACAATAAACCTTCCGAAGAAATACAAAAACCTTCCGAAGTAACACAGAAACCTTTTGAAGTAACAATAAACCTTCCGAAGAAATACAAAAACCTTCCGAAGTAACACAGAAACCTTCCGAAGTAACAATAAACCTTTTGAAGTAACAATAAACCTTTTGAAGTAACACAGAAACCTTCCGAAGTAACACAAAACCTTCCGAAGTAACAATAAACCTTTTGAAGTAACACAGAAACCTTCCGAAGTAACACAAAACCTTCCGAAGTAACAATAAACCTTTTGAAGTAACAATAAACCTTCCGAAGAAATACAAAGACCTTCCGAAGTAACACAGAAACCTTCCGAAGAAACAATAAACCTTTTGAAGTAACAATAAACCTTCCGAAGAAATACAAAAACCTTCCGAAGTAACACAGAAACCTTTTGAAGTAACAATAAACCTTCCGAAGAAATACAAAAACCTTCCGAAGTAACACAGAAACCTTCCGAAGTAACAATAAACCTTTTGAAGTAACAATAAACCTTCCGAAGAAATACAAAAACCTTCCGAAGTAACACAGAAACCTTCCGAAGTAACAATAAACCTTTTGAAGTAACAATAAACCTTTTGAAGTAACAATAAACCTTCCGAAGAAATACAAAAACCTTCCGAAGTAACACAGAAACCTTCCGAAGTAACACAAAACCTTCCGAAGTAACACAGAAACCTTCCGAAGTAACAATAAACCTTTTGAAGTAACAATAAGCCTTCCGAAGAAATACAAAAACCTTCCGAAGTAACACTGACAAAATATCACCCCAAATAAAGAAGTATACCACGTGAAACACGTAATTGGTACCACGTGGAAACAAACCTTCCGAAGTAACACAAAACCTTCTAAAGTAACACAAAACCTTCCGAAGTAACACAAAACGGCAAAACCTTCCGAAGTAACAGGTTTTGCCGTTTTGTGTTACTTTGGAAGGTTTTATGTTACTTCGGAAGGTTTTGTGTTACTTCGGAAGGTTTTGTGTTACTTCGGAAGGTTTTGTGTTACTTTGGAAGGTTTTCTGTTACTTCGGAAGGTTTTGTGTCATTTCGGAAGGTTTTGTGTTACTTCGGAAGGTTTTGTGTTACTTTGGAAGGTTTTGTGTTACGTCGGAAGGTTTTGTCGTTTTGTGTTACTTCAGAATGTTTTATATTACTTCGGAAGGTTTTGTGTTATTTTGGAAGGTTTTGTGTTACTTCGGAAGGTTTTGCTGTTTTGTGTTTCTTCGGAAGGATTTATGTTACACAAAACGGCAAAACCTTCCGAAGTAACACAAAACCTTCTGAAATATTATTTCGGGTTAGGGTTAGGGTTATGGTTAGGGTTAAAGTTAGGGTTAGGGTTAGGGTTAGGGTTAGGGTTAGGGTTAGGGTTAGGGTTAGGGTTAGGGTTAGGGTTAGGGTTAGGGTTAGGGTTAGGGTTAGGGTTAGGGTTAGGGTTAGGGTTAGGGTTAGGGTTAGGGTTAAAAAACATGTTTCCTATCAAATGTTACAGCCGGTTGAAAATTGCCGTGTCATTTTAATAGATAGAAATCCCCTTAATATAAACTCTTTTGGTAAATTGACCAATCATCTTCAAATTTAGTGTCTGCATCTGATACAACTCCTTCGTCCAATCGTAATGTTGTTGACTAAAGTGAAAAATACCATTCCGATCAAAAGATATGACCATTTTAAGATCAAGGTAATGGTAGAGAGGATTCCGTAACAATGTTACTTTGGAAGGTCCTACACGTGGTATAAATTCCTAAAAAAGGGCTATAATCACGCGATAAACCACAAAGACAGACCTTCCAAAGTAACACAGAAACCTGTCAAGGTCAGGGTCAGGGTCAGGGTCAGCTGGTCCTGGGTCAGGGTCAGGGTCAGGGTCCTGGGTCCTGGGTCCTGGGTCAGGGTCCTGGGTCAGGGTCAGGGTCAGGGTCAGGGTCAGGGTCAGGGTCAGGGTCAGGGTCAGGGTCAGGGTCAGGGTCAGGGTCAGGGTCAGGGTCAGGGTCAGGGTCAGGGTCAGGGTCAGGGTCAGGGTCAGGGTCAGGGTCAGGGTTAATTGTATTAAGTTATATTGCATTGTCGGGGGGTCAATTGTCGGGGGGTCAATTATCGGGGGTCAATTGTCGGGGGGTCAATTGTCGGGGGGTCAATTGTCACCCACCCAATTATAGCTTTGCTTAACTTTAAGGATAAACGTTTTGTAACTTGACATGTGATTGTTCCATACCACAACATTTAACTTTTAGACTAAACTCTAAAGTTCAAATATATAATGTTACGACAGTGGTACAGGTATTTCCAAAAGTCGCCAGACCTTGTTTTTTTGAAGCCTCGGTAAGTTTATGCCATTGCTTTATCCCAAACACTTTTTAAAATCGGTATTTTTGCTCATTATAATACTGTACACTTATAGTCCCCCTGGCTCTATATCGCAGTTTTTGTGATGAAAAACTGAGCGCAAAATAGCCGCGTCATATTATATTTATAGGGGTACCGCGTTATAGGGGTACCGCGTTATCTACTGGGCGGCGCTCAGCCTGTCATTCCGCCGAATCTCTATTCATCATACGTTCATACTTATAGAAAGGGAATATTGTACTGACAAATAAATTACAACAATGTTAATTTCATCACCAATCTGTGATAAACAATATGAATGTTCATATTACATACAAAATCATTTAGTTTTACCCTATACCGTATATTGATAAAAACTTGAAAATCATGCAATTTACTAATATAGTCACATATTTAACATATATATAATACCGGTAAAACATAATATCATATACCTAAATAATAGTGTCAGGCTTACAGTTTACCACTTTGACGGAAAGGCTCAAGATTGGTATACATCAACTCATGGTAGCTTCAAAAATAAAACATAACTATTAAATAACCTAAGATGTCCGTAGAATACTGAGGTAGAATACTTGACGTGAACGTTCACAAAGTTTTACCGATCGGGGGCCACTACCCGACCAACAACTGAGTGGACCGCAGGAACGATGTCTGAACCGTCCACTAATTTTGTGGTCTCGTGTAGTGAGTAGTGACACGTGTCTACTGACATATACTCTTGATGATTATGGAGGTCACGGCGTACGGGTCACAGTTGCTGGATGGACGACGGTCCTGGGGGAAACATGGTAATTAGTTAATTAATTAGTTAATTACAATTAATTAGTTAATTATAATAAATTAGTTAATTATAATTAATTAGTTAATTATAATAAATTAGTTAATTATAATTAATTAGTTAATTACAATTAATTATTCAATTATCTTTCGTGCTCATTAAAGGACTAAATTATGTTTATCTTGATACATGTTTCGTATCCCAATATCAGAGATAATATAATTTTTCCGCCTTCGGCGGCGCGCGCTTCGCGCGCGAAAAGTGGCATGCAACGTATGTCAATGTTTATCACACTTTTAAATGCAATGAAAACATAATCGACCGTATTCAGCATCACGATGGAATACTTCTCCATGGTATAGAAAAGCAGTTAAAAGTTATAGAAAGTGATTTGACATGTACCTCGAAGTAACCGTAACCGTCCTTTTCACACTGCCTTGGTATCCTAATACTGCACCCTCGGTTGGCTACTCCGTAGCTGAAGTCATGAATGCTGAAAATAAGAGGTGGTTAGTTTGTTGTGGTTAGTTTGTTGTGGTTACTTTTTTGTGGTTACTTTGTTGTGGTTAGTTGGTTGTGGTTAGTTGATTGTGGTTAGTTTGTTGTGGTTAGATGGTTGTGGTTAGTTTGTTGTGGTTAGTTTGTTGTGGTTAGTTGGTTGTGGTTAGTTTGTTGTAGTTAGTTGGTTGTGGTTAGTTTGTTGTGGTTAGCTTGTTGTGGTTAGTTTGTTGTGGTTAGCTTGTTGTGGTTAGTTTGTTGTGGTTAGTTTGTTGTGGTTAGTTTGTTGTGGTTAGCTTGTCGTGGTTAGTTTAATGTGGTTAGATTGTTGTGGTTAGTTTGTTGTGGTTAGTTTGTTGTGGTTAGTTTGTTGTGGTTAGTTTGTTGTGGTTAGTTTGTTGTGGTTAGTTTGTTAGTTGGTTGTGGTTACTGGTTAGTTTGTTGTGGTTAGTTTGTTGTGGTTAGTTTGTTGTGGTTAGTTGGTTGTGGTTAGTTTGTTGTGGTTAGTTTGTTGTGGTTAGTTTGTTAGTTGGTTGTGGTTACTGGTTAGTTGATTGTGGTTAGTTGGTTGTGGTTAGTTGATTGTGGTTAGTTTGTTGTGGTTAGCTTGTTGTGGTTAGTTTAATGTGGTTAGAATGTTGTGATTAGTTTGTTGTGGTTAGTTTGTTGTGGTTAGCTTGTTGTGGTTAGCTTGTTGTGGTTAGCTTGTTGTGGTTAGTTTGTTGTGGTTAGTTTGTTGTGGTTAGTTTGTTGTGGTTAGTTTGTTGTGGTTAGTTTGTTGTGGTTAGTTTGTTGTGGTTAGTTTGTTGTGGTTAGTTTGTTGTGGTTAGTTTGTTGTGGTTAGTTTGTTAGTTGGTTGTGGTTATTGGTTAGTTTGTTGTGGTTAGTTGGTTGTGGTTAGTTGGTTGTGGTTAGTTGGTTGTGGTTAGCTTGTTGTGGTTAGCTTGTTGTGGTTAGTTTGTTGTGGTTAGTTTGTTGTGGTTAGTTTGTTGTGGTTAGTTTGTTGTGGTTAGTTTGTTAGTTGGTTGTGGTTACTGGTTAGTTTGTTGTGGTTAGTATGTTGTGGTTAGTTGGTTGTGGTTAGTTGGTTGTGGTTAGTTTGTTGTGGTTAGTTGGTTGTGGTTAGTTGGTTGTGGTTAGTTTGTTGTGGTTAGTTTGTTGTAGTGAGGACGACATTCGACTGGTAAGGTATTTGCTCGCAAATACTAAACTGAAGATCAAAGTGAACTCAACAATATCGGGAGAGTTTATTGTCACGATTGGAGCTTTTCAAGGCGACAGTTTGTCTGGAAACTTGTTCACTCTATATCTGGCAGCAGCACTTTACCACCTGCGTGCTGTTATGTCCTATCTAAGACCTAACCCTCCCATAGCTGAGAATCTGCTACCCCTCGAGTGGGAGTACGCAGATGATGTTGATTTTACTGATGAGGATAAAAGCAATTTGGAGTCTTTGTTGCCAATATGTAAAGAGATATTGGAAGAGTGGAATCTTTTTGTCAATGAGTCAAAAACCGAGTTCACCCACTTCTATCTGGCCGGCAAGAACGAGGTTGATAACAAAGGAGAGACACTCAGAGGTAGAGAACCTTGGAGGTCATCTATCTCTTTAGGCTCTAAGTTGTGTAGCATCGAAGATGTCAAGAGACGATGTATACTTGCTAACATTGCTTTTCAGAACTACAAAAATGTCTGGGAACAAGGTAGACGAATACCCTTGAAGATTCGACTCAAGATATATGAAGCACAAGTTGTTTCAATACTGATGTATAATTGCAACAGTTGTGCAACATCTAAACAACTCCTTCAGAAACTTGATGTCTGCCACAGGAATCATATCCGTACGATCATCGGCATGACCTACCCTAATGTCATACGAAATGTGACTCTATACAAACGCTGCGAAGTTGTTCCACTAAGTGAGCGTGTTGCTCGTGCACGGTGGAGAATGCTCGGTCACATCCTCCGCAGTGATAATAACTCACCTGCCCAGCTTGCCTTACATTTTGCTGTAGAGAGTCAGAGTTTGATGAGAGGTAGTGTCGGACGACACCAGTCAAACTTGTTAAAAACTATTTTGAACGATTTAAGTGACAGAAACTTTAGACTTCTAAATACAGACGATTTATACCATTTAAGACTTTTTGCAACAGATAGAAAAGCATGGAGAGAGTTAAGCATGATTTAGTTTATTCTGTGTTATTTTTCTCTTGGTGACTTATCAGGTCATCAAGATGTTCTTTATGTTCTATTTTTGATTTGAATAAAGTTATATAATATAATAATAATAATAGTTTGTTGTGGTTAGTTTGTTGTGGTTAGTTGGTTGTGGTTAGCTTGTTATGGTTAGCTTGTTGTGGTTAGTTTGTTGTGGTTAGTTTGTTGTGGTTAGTTTGTTGTGGTTAGTTTGTTGTGGTTAGCTTGTTGTGGTTAGTTTGTTGTGGCTAGTTTGTTGTGGTTAGTTGGTTGTGGTTACTGGTTAGTTTGTTGTGGTTAGTATGTTGTGCTTAGTTTGTTGTGGTTAGTTTGTTGTGGCAATGGCAGTCTGTCAGATATGCTGTATAAGGTACGTAAGTGATTTACTACTAGCCTGGCTAGTAGTAAATCATTAGTCAATAACTAGCCAGCATGCTATAATTGATAAAGTATAATTAGTCAAATTACAATTTGTGAATCTGGATGGCGAAAGTATCCAGATATAATTCAACCCCGTTTAGAACGATATCATATTATTTATCGAGGTCATTCAAAGCCTGATGCCTTCTGTACAATACTTCAAATGTATGATAAGTTTTGAAACTAAAGTTGAACAGGTACCTGGCTGTTTCATGAAGTCCAGTGAGTCTCCTGGCGTTATCCTTTCCGTTGGTTGGATCGTACTCACGGATGTGCTCGTCATGTTTCGTGCTCATCTTCTCGATTGCTTTCACGATGTGCTCCATTCCTCCTTCTTCTCTCATCGCTTTCGTGCTGAGTTAAGAAAAAGAGTTAGATTTGCATTATAAAGTTACAAAAAAGTTTGACAATAACTTTTTAATAGTCCTGGAAAATAACCTTGCAAGTTGCAAACAATCGCGTCGAAATAGAGGACACGCTTTTAATGAGTAATTAATATAACTAATGACAGTATAAACTCAAATTGATGCATTAACCTTTGAAACTATACCTGATGTTAGTATGGCATCCAGCGCCATTCCAATCTCCATCAATAGGTTTGGGGTCGAAACTGATGACCACGTCGAACTCCTCAGCTACTCTGCACAGGATGTACCTGGAAACCCAGAGGTGGTCTCCCATGTCTATACCCTCACATGGTCCAACCTGGTATTCCCACTGAGAAGACACATCATTAATTATCAGTGACCATGTTCTTAAAAATAGCTTATATCAAGTAATCATCGAGCAGGTAGATTCGGGGAGTATTGAGTAGGTCATGGAAAACGTCTAAACTAATACTCAGCAAAACTTGAAAGTAAACTTTCGTGTGTGTTTATAAGGCTTTAAATTATTCGTTTCACCGTAATTGTGGATCTGTAAATACAAACTGACATACCTGGGAGGGCATGACCTCTGCGTTGGTTCCAGCAATCTTAACACCAGCGTACATGCAGGCTCTGTAATGAGCCTCTACAATCTTCCTGCCTTGAACTCTATCCGCACCAACTCCGCAATAGTAGGGTCCCTGGGTGTTTTTAGTTTAATGTGTGTGGAAATGAATGAAAATACCGCTTTTAGATTTAAAACAATTATGAAAAGCTATCAAAGGCAAAAAAACAAAAGACTTTCAATTTTAAATTAACCGTTAATTAGATTACCATACCTGGGGTCCTGGATATCCGTTCGTGGGCCATCCGTAGGGATGCTTGCCAGTGTGATCAAACATGGTATATTCCTGCTCAATTCCGAACCTAAAGGAGAAATCATCGTTCAACATAATAATGCAAAAAACTAATACACTATCAATACAAGGAGAATTTTGAAACATTTATCTCATTAAAATGAAAAAAACAGTCAACTTTTCTCTTACCAAGGTATTTCGTCAGCGAATTCGTCCATGAGTTTCTTACATTCTTCTCTCTTGTTGGTTGGGTGGGGAGTTCCATCAGGAGCGTAGCACTCACACATCACCAGAATATTGTCACCTCTTCTAAAGGGATCTCTAGAATAAACAGTAGGTTAGATTACATGTACTGATGATCAATATTTATTATTTATCTTCTGTGGTCCGAAGATGGAATTATAATCAACTGAAGAAAGCTTACAGCAAGTTATCTGAATCTCTAGGACTTGATGACCAGAAGGAACTTAAATATACTTAGAATTCATTCTAGATCGTCGTGACGGAGAATCATATAGGATAAAAACAACAACAGATATTATGTCACCGTCGGCCACATGGGAATACAACATGTTTGTAGATAAGTTCCAGAAGTTTCCATTTCTTCTTTCGCATCAGACGAAGAATCAAAGCTTGTATTGTGTGGCTAATAGATCTAGTTGCTAAAAGGGTTAATACCTCTTCTGAGGGTATGCTGCCAAGCTATAACTCGCTGTAGTACCGATGATCGAGGTAATAACTCTTTAGCCTTTCTGGCTCGATGTTATGTCGGAGTCCGATAGATAAAACTTACCTTCAACATAAAAGAGAGAGGATATGAGAGTTCCCTTGCAGAACTTTAGGATTTGCTCCAGTTACGTGTGAGGATAGCAGATATTATAGGATTCCTACAAGATGGTTAACGAATGTCCAGACCGAACTCAAATTTGACATGCTGTCAACCCCAAAATGAATTTCACAAGATATTTATTCGTTGACAACATACCTGTAAATGGTTCGTTTTTCTTCAGATTTGATCTTCGCTAGAGTTCATCCCCAGCCCGAACACAGAACCCAGATATCAAACAGAGGAAAAATGACAGACATGATACGTTTGCTCAAAATGGTATAAACTCAGCCCTCGCCCTATTTTCCGACCAAAATTAACCCACCACCATCCTGTCCACAAGGCAAAAAATGTGTTAATTTTTGTGACTCGACCAAACTCACTTGAAAATACTGACGGGTTTGATGTAGATGTCACTGTTTCGTCCGGTACTCTGGTTTGTGCTGCTGCCGTCAAAGTTCCATTCAGGTAATTGGTCTATTGAGGTGATTGGTCCGTCCATCGTCTTTGTTTTACCTCTGCAGATATCAGATTGTAATTATATATAGGTCAAATGAACGAGGAGTAGTCACGTGTTAAATCAAACTTTATTCACCTTCACCCACGTTTAATGTTTATGTACGACCAATACAAATAAAAAGCATCGTTTTCTTGTGAACCTGTTGGGAAACTGTACGGAAAATTGAAAAAATGTTCGGGTATCTGACAACCGTAGCGAAAAAAACTTCATCTAACCTGAAATTCTGTCCAGATCCATCAATCCAGATGTAGTAAGCCTGTACCTTTCCATTTTGATCGAGGTCCATGAACTGGTTTGAAGCCATAATTGCGTTTGTAGATAACTATAAAATGAAATATTTGGTTACCATTCCGAAATTGGAACTATTCTAGAACTTAATAAATGTCAAATAACTGGATACAACCCAAAAGAAAACTGAAACATTATAAAACAAGAATTTATTGTATATTTTGGCGTTAAAACTTTATGAGAAAGTACAAGATTTTAAAGGTGTAACGAAAAGACTCAAACAGATATTATTATACGAAGGAGACATCAATCTGATTTGTATACTTCCTCCTCGGCGTGAGGAAAGTGACTTAACCACGCAAAAAAGTCTGTACGATAACTTGTCTATGAAGGAAAGACATTTTTTAATTTAAAGGGTTATTTTTCAATCACCCATAAAAACCAAACCAATGAAGCTGGAAACCCCAAATTTTGGCTACCTGGGCACATTGCCAAAAGAACCTCTGCGGTAAAATTTGAACTGAAACCGACATTTACTTTTTGAGATCGTCATTAAATATTGTGTGACATAAAAGACAAATTAGCAAATTCGCACTCACTTTAACCTTATTTTTATGTTATACATTTGGTAGTGGCGGTTGTAGAATTTCCATGGGTAACAACATACGTTTTATCAGATTCACAATATTTAAGAAATTTGCGAGTAAAGTAGAAAACCGCCAAAAGCTGCCCAAAATGTGTTCACGTGTCTGGAATAGTAGCCGTTGTTATTGTTGCAGTAGAATTGCTCGTGCACTAGATTATATAGGAATGTAAACTGTCTGATTCATTTATCCGTCTTGTTGGGCAGCATCTTTTTCGCAATGATCAGAAAATATTAAAGTTTTCTAAGGGAGGAGCAGTGAAGTTTTTATTATGCACTAGGTGATAAGTTAATTAAACCCTATCGTGCTTTGAAACGACGGGTTTATGTTCGATGATAGTGTATTTACTGTGGTCCAATATTTGAACATCCTTCTGGGTTACAGGGTGAAGATATTTATTATCAAACATGAAAAGCTTAAAGCTACGATTTTCATTCTGTTACTGGTAAAATTGTCCATTGTTGAGACTTGGGTCCGATTGTCACATCGACCGATTTACCGTAGGAATTTAGAATGATCAATTAAAATATCATCGGGAGATTAAATGTGCGAGAAATCTGCCGAGTTCATAGTTGGCTCTGTTGTTAAATGCATAAAAGTCGTATATTTCAACTAAACCTAGTATAACCGAAATTAAATAGTTTGCCTCAAGTTCTACGACTAAATGGTTGGACTAAGGACACTTTCACTTTTGATATCATTTTCAATGACCGTCATGAATCATGATCATCAGTCGAACTAGTATCCAATTAGTGAGACTTATTTTTAGGGTATCTTAGTTAAAGGTCGTGTCCCTCAGAACACTCCAGATTACATGGCGGCATCGTATTTGTAAAGATAATAGTGAAAAATCGGAAAATTCGGAAGGATTGATGGTGAATTTTCCTCTAACCTAACCGATTTGTCGCAGATTTGGTAGACTAACCAAAATATGGATCCGTTACTATAATAATCTCAATTTAAGTACACAAATTATTACAAAACTTTAGCCGGTGATGCATAATTATAATATATATTAGAAATCGACAAATTCAGTAAATAATTTAATGACGCAACATTTTGAAAGTAGAGAGTAGAGACTGAAATGTGTAGTATAATCAAAAATTATGTTTTCCTTTCCATAAAACATTACTTTGAGTACCACTGTATACTTGTATAACGATGAACGAAGTGTTTGCCTTAAAATATTGGCAGGCTTATAACTTTATAAAGACACTACGGCTAAAAATGTTCTCATCTCTAAATAATTGTTATAACAGCAAAGGCCAAAGAGTTAAAACACGGAGGGATAAAATACCGGTCCCTTTTTATGGTCAGAAAACACGCCGGGGCAAAGATCAAAGATGGTCCGGCAGTGTTGGTACTACTACTTCCGAATCAGACTTCCTACAAAGATCGTGTATCACTCTTTTTATTTTGACAGGTGACCGTGATGTGATTTCCGGCACAAACTAAAGAATGTTTCCGCTGATGTACAGCTTTCCATCAATTCGTGAACAACTTGGACCATTCATGCGGGCGCTCAAAATTTAGCACAAACTCGCCAATTTTACGGAAAAAACTCGAGAACATTCTGTTCTCTGAGAGAATTAACAGTCACCCTCGGCGTCAATCAGTTTTGTTTCAAGTAAAAAGTGATGACTGCTCATGTAGAGGTTAGAGTTCTTCAAGAAAGAACTAAGCAAAGAAGAATGAAGCACCTTAAGCGATTGAGATTTGAGACCAACATAATTGCAAAATATTTAGGGTCATCAAGACTATAACAGCTTGGAAAAGGAATAGCGAAACTATGCTCCTTAATAAAAATAAATTCAAATTTCCCATGTTGTCCTTTAATGGTTGTTCTGTCCATGTTAGACTAATTAATGGATCATTATAAAAAAACGAACTGACGGATGGATGGGCATTGGATCTGTCAAATTGCTCGCCTGGGCAAGACGCCCTCAGACGAGATATCTTACAAGATGCGTCTACCATCACTGTTGAGTGTTGTGGGCCCTGGGTTGCCATGCTGCGCAATAAATAGATATATGAAATCCACTGAAAGCGAATTTGTGACGTGGAGAACTGAGATATAGTTACTTCACTAAAGTCATCAGCCCTCAGTGAAAGGGCTGATGACTTCAGTGAAAGAGCTGGTGACCTAGTGAAAGTGCTGGTGACGATGAGAAAGACCATAAACCAGGGATTCTTTCGGGGGCATGTAAGATTATATCCAAAGTTTGTTCGCCAATGGGGCGTGTCTGGGTGTCAAAACTCAAAGATCTTCAAGGTGGGTGCTACTTGTGATGAACTCTAGGAGGATGGGATGGTAATACTCGGTCTGGCCGTCTGGAAGCCCATAGAATTCCAGTTCAGAAACCGAGTAAGGAGGTGCGGCTACTGATGAGAAGCCTCCTTAAAGTTTATTTGGGTTAGAAACGACATCTGGGTCCCTACCCTCGCACAAGATTATTCTCAATTTTCTTGTTGTGTTCCACAACTATACACTATACAGCGAAACCTCTTTATAAACGGGCCTCTCGGGGGAATGAAAAGTGCACGGTATAGAAAGACTCGCTATAGAACGTTTCACATGATCAGGTTATGTACTCAAATCACCACTAAATGTAATATGAGCTATGATAACTTGATAAGGTACATTCCTTGCACAACAAGAGCTAATTAACTTAAAATATGGGGGAAAAGAAAAGGCCCAGTTTATCGAGGTACCCGGTATAGAGAGGCACAGTATAGAGGTTTTACTGCATATGAAGCAACATAAAGGGTATGACCAATGAAGTGTCGTTCAAATCTTCTACAAATTCAGGTAGAACTAGAAGTAGAAGCAATCCAATTTGACCCAGACCTCAAATGAGATTACACACGAATATCCTTCACTAGCAGCTTTATGTAGTGAAAAGTTCTGACCAACGTTGATGTTGTCAAGCGTAAATGATATGGTCTAATCCATTACCTATGAGGCTGTTACTATCACGGTGAGCGGTAATAGTAAATACAAATTTGATCTAACGTTTATACTGTGTAGTGTGTACTGTATCTAATAATAAAATAATCAAATAAAATTAGCACCGGAAGAAGTGGCGTAATAACTGAAGTTAATCTTAAACCTAATAGAACAGGTAACGAAAAACTTTTTTTCAAAAGTATTGAATTTCAAAAAAATAAAATCAAAAACTGCTTATCAGTGCAAAATTTGACTTTGACCTCGACATTATCGGAATTTAGAAGATGGAGACGAAAAAATGTTGATGATCTTAAAATATAGCCTTCAAAAGTGAAAGTATCGGACCTTATATACAACGAAATGTGTCAGAAATTAGACACGCCGCAATAAGATTAAGAAGTGTAACTTTCTTTTTTCCGGAGAACCATAAACAGTCGTACCAGTATCACGTACAACGTAAGCAGTTATGGCTAAAAGCAGGCCCCCGCTTTTTATCAATTAATTAGGAAAGAGACAGGAACACGTCTTGATATACTAATTACTAAGATAAGACGTCTAAAAACCACGATAATGGACTAATACCTTGTTTCTCTACCCACCGTAACTCATCACCCTGTCAGTGGCACTGATACACACGGCAATTTACCATGAATTTGATGTTTTTTATCAGTTTCTAGGTTTACTGGGTGGCGCTCAGCCTGTCATTCCGCCATATCTTCAATCGCGGTGCGGTTATGAACACTTATAAGCCTGGGTCCCCAGGTAATTACTAGGTTTAATATCCGTCTACTAGAAGTTCTAGTTTCCTCTTCCTCCTCAATTTCAACCTTTTCTTTTCTTGATGAAACTTTTAAAAGTACGTGACTAGAAGTGATATAATTCCTCAAGTCATCAGAAAAAGAGGCAAAGATCAAGATGGAGAACGTTGCCCAACACTCACTTCAAACGAGTATGGAGACATAAGTTCGCCAGATCAATCCCGAAACTTGGCAAAGAGAGCACAAGAACAGCGACACAATTCCTTACTGGACATTGTGAACTGAACTACCACATTAATAAGTTCAAGCCGACAACGGTCCCCAAAACTTGTCCACACTGTCTTACCACTTTATTGGTCAGTGCCCGACATGGTCTTACCAACGAGGAGGATACTTTGACTCCTTCTATCTTAGTGTGACAGACATAGTGGACAAGTTCTCACTACCAAGGATCATCGGCTTCATAATAATAAGGGGGGGGGGGGGGGGGGGGCTGGAAGTCGGTCTCCCGACCACCATGATTAGAGTAGCCAACTATTGGGTTACGGTTACTATAATTATAAAAGTTAGGATCAGGGCTAAGGTTAGAGTTTTCCTATGCATAACCATAACCTTACCCCTTACCCCTAACTCTAAAAACGTGTCTACCTTAATATCTACCCTAATGTCCACCCTAATGTTTACCCTAATGTATTCCTTACTAAGCTGCTGCTCATAAAAAACTCTTTATCTTTGTACTTATAGTAG